TTTCGAAAATTAGGAGCTTTTGTAGACGAACATGGATTTTTTAGAGTTGGGGGTAGACTCAAAAATTCTCTTTTAAATTACGAAAAGAAATATCCATTAATACTACCGCGCAACTCTCGTTTAACTGAATTAATTATAGAGCATATACATAAATCTAATTTGCATCCAGGGCTTTTAACTACTCAATATTTATTATCGCAAAATTTTTGGATATTATCCGCTCGTCGCGCAATCAAGCATGTTCTTTCTAAATGTATTTCATGTTTCCGCTCGAATCCCTCATCTCTTCAACCTCTTATGGGTAATCTACCGGCTACAAGAATTTCGCAAGTTAAACCTTTTTCTATTGTAGGAATTGATTTTGGAGGTCCGTTTTTAATTAAGACAAGTAAACTTCGCAACGCTAAGTTAGTTAAAAGTTATATATGTATTTTCGTATGTTTTACAACCAAGGCCATTCATATTGAGCTGGCATCTGATTTATCTACCGATAATTTTTTATGTGCATTGCGTAGATTCATAGCTCGTAGAGGCAGATGCAGTGAAATAATCTCAGATAATGGTACTAACTTTTCCGGAGCTAATAAGTATTTAAGAAAAATATTTCAAGAATCCGCTGGTAAAGAAAACATTAAATGGAGTTTTAACCCGCCATCCGCGTCTCATTTTGGAGGTTTATACGAGGCTGGAATAAAATCTGTTAAAACACATTTTTCCCGTGTAATTGGGTCACAATGTTTAACATATGAAGAAATGAATACTTTATTAATACAAATTGAATCTTTATTAAATTCACGCCCGCTTTGTCCGCAAAGTTCTGATCCGAATGATTACACAGTCCTCACTCCAGGTCACTTTTTAACGCTAGAACCGCTTTCTTGTATACCTGATCCTGATTTATCTCAAATTAAATTAAATAGGCTTGATAGATATCAGTTACTTTTACGCCTCCATCGAGATTTTTGGGTGCGATGGCACCGAGAATATTTAAACACGCTTCAACAGCGAACAAAATGGCTCATGCCAGGCCAGTCGCTTAGTCCAGGCAGTTTAGTTCTAATTAAAAATGAAAACGCTCCACCCATAACATGGAAAATAGGTCGCGTGAGAAAGGTATTCCCTGGAAAGGATAATATAGTACGGGTTGCTGAAGTACAGACATCCAAGGGCTCTATGTACGGCCACTTGTCAAATTATGTCCTTTACCAAATAAATAATATTTCTTAAATTAAATATAATTTAATTTTGTATATATTTTTTTTTCTCTCATTTTTTTCTATAAATTTTCATTCCGTTTTCATTAATACTTTTACATATAATTTTCATAATTTACCTCATTTTAATTTTTTTTATTATTGTTAAATTTTCATTTAACAAAAATGGGGGCAGTATATGTTCGGTATTTTATTACTATTCATTTTATAAATTTAATTTCGCGCATAATTTTTTGTTCATAAGAAATGTTCGCCCGCTACGCCATTGCGCCTCGGGCAGGAAACTACGACTCCGAGTGTGACTTCGATATAGTCCGCCGCAGACTCAACTGGTCATTTTCTGTATCGCGATATCCGAAGAAATTAAATAGACTTTTTATCCACGAAAAAGTGCAAGAACGTGCAAGGAGCTGACTTGGAAATAAGGTAGGCGAACATCCGCAATAATTCTTTTTGTTAGTATCTCAATTAACTTTTAATTTACCTAAATTACTCTTCTTATTTTCTTAAACTAAATAAAACACCAGAACCAGCCCCAATGGATTTACAACCCATTTAAATATAATATAAAATAAAACACATATAGTTGCTATATATTAGACCATTTGCTACGTTCTTAGATTTTAAGTCCCAAACATTGCTCTTGAGATTTTCTCCCGCTAGAATAACCATCCGCCGCACTGTGGAGCGCTGGTCAGCGCGTGACGTAGCATTCGATTTGACGCGATCGAACAGTCCTTTAGAATATATACAGTCCTTGGTCCTTATGGGCACTTTCCAATCTCAACTTGTTTCTTTTATCTGTGGGTAGTCAGTTGTACTTAGTTGTATCCATAACTGACATTTAAAAAAATCTGTTATATCATTTATAAATTTAATGTCTATTGTAAGTCAATGGTCGCATAATACTAAAGGAATTCAATTCATAGAAACCATCTCGATTAAGTTTTTTAATGATAATCTATTTTTAAAAGTTCTTAGTAGGATCCATTAAAAAGGGAATTTATTGGTATAGGTCTGTTAACCCTGGAACCTTGAGTTAATGGCTATTTTTAAATTACTTTTTGTTTTTATTAGAAACGATGGGTTTCCTTTTAATATTGATTATTTAATAAACACTAAATTATAGATAATTTGAAGAAAAACACGTTAATTATATTATTATTTCATTTATATGTGGCTAGAAACTCAAGTTTTAGCCGCATAATATGGGAAAAAATCGTTTATTTCTCGGAAATATTTGTTCTTCTTCAATATCCCCGCAAATCTTTATATACCCATAAATTCCAAATAAACCAATTGATATTAATTTAAATATGTTATTTCATATACGTATTAAATTCGTATTAAAATTAACTGTCAAGAATAGAAATGACACTGTTTTCCTAGTATTAACTTACGGTACCAAGTTTCAATTACTTGATACATTGGAAAATACTTACTTAAAACGTCTTTTGGGGCTATTGAAATAAAACATTTAATTTAACTGTCATTTTCTTTTAATGTTGAAAATAAAGTCGGAAATTCAAACCTTAGAAAAAATAGAATATATTTATTTTTACATCTAGTTAATCAGTTTGAAAAGAATCTTTGATACATTCGTGTTATCAATTAAAATTAAATTTGTTGTTTTCAAGGCTTATTCAGAACCTCGAAATTTGTGGAATAAATTAGTGGTTTCAATTATACTTTTTACTTAAAAGTTTAGTAATGATATATAGAGCAACCCTAAAGTTCCCAACTGGCAAATTAGTACGTCAGGGAGACGCTATATCCCCAAAGCTGCAACACTAGAAGAAATCTACCGTCAACTGGACTGGACCAAAAAGGATTCAAAATAGATGGAGAATATCTTAACCATCTAAGGTTTGCTGAAGACATAGTACAAATTAACTTTTGGCGCTATTCTTGCAACGGTCGCGACCCAAAGCTTTTGATAATTTCGGATCGATTTGGATTTTTTCGGAATTATGTCGCCAAATATTGTTTATTCAAATTTATTATTATTTTCTTTTACATTTATAATTAAATTACAGTGTGGTGCATACAAGAATACAAAAAAAAGGACATGTATGAAATAACTATGAAACATTGGAAACCGACGCGACGTTATGCCACGATCCACGATGGTTTTTGGAGTTCACAGTTTACAACACAGCTTTTTAAGTTTTTAATGCCACTTTTTCACAAATATTATCACGGGTTTGAGTAAATAAAATTTAAATTAAACTCACAAGATAGCAATAATTACTTTGAGAATGGACGCTTTAAACACTTTTCGGAATTTTTTCATTGAGGCCGGTTTAAATTTTAAAGATTCTATAATTTTTGCTGATTCTGACTTTGACAAGAGAAAATTATTTCAGATATTGTTTGCGGTTGTTCTTAGCAACCGCTATAGCAGCGCCAGATCGCGTACAACGGTCGCAACCCAAAACAATTATATATTTTGACGGGCTTTCCAATCTAAATTCATTTTCTTTATCTATATGGGCCAAAGTGACATTAGTCGCAAATTTTGAAGTACAATTAGTGGATAAAGTTAAAAGATTGTTAACGTTTTCCACTAATTAAAAATTACGACCACTAGTTTTAAAGTTCTGAATGGCTTACATTGAAATTAAAAGAACAAACTTCTACCACAGATTAAGTATACTATATGTATACAGATAAAAATCTTAATCCCTAATTAACGTGGTACGAAAATTGTTTTTTATGACGATGTGCAAACGAGTCAAATTTCCTGTGCGCATAAATAAACTCGCGTAAAATAACAATAGACAGCGTAATAGAGAGATAACGCTAAACCGAATAGCGTGCATGGACGTTAATAAGGCCAGGTGTTATTTCCTTTACGTGAGGTGGTATTAACTCTCTTCATTTATAGTTATCGGATCGGAAAGAATTCTGATCTCGTCGCGTCCGCTATTTAAACTTAACCTAACTTTGAATTTAAAACTTTGAAATTGTTTTGTTTACTAGATATTTTAAAACTAAAGGGCTAAAGTGCTTATTTCCAGTGCTTTATTGTTCAACGTCTGCCAGTGGGTTTAGAGCAACAAGCAACAAATAATTCTCTTAGAAGGGCTAAGTCGTCATCTGCTGTAGCCTCTTTATAGGTTCTTTAATATTGGAAGAGATGGAATCCATATTTTGGGCCATATTTATTTAATTAAAACTAATCCGGGCTACTTAAATATCAAATTACCTAAAAAAACTAAAGTAATAATTCAAAACAATTCAAACATAACCTAAAATAAAAGATCTCGCCGGCCGGCCCCGGTTGTCAAATACCCGCACATGCCCATGTAAGCAATTTTTAAACGTTATTTAGAAATAGCGCTTGGTGTAATTGATCGGCAAATTACGTCAGGCGGTAACGTTATTAGCGGGCGTTGCGTTAAAAATTGATTCGCGCATATAGTAACCATGATAAGGTACGCGTAAATACTGCATGACGCTATTCGGTTTTGCGATATCTCTCTAATAACTGTGCCGGTGAGGCGCTGTGCACAATTTTAGAGGCCATAAGTGGGCGTGCTACATACGCAAACTAGTCACCTAACTAGTGCCCGATTCCGAAAATCGGAACCACGAATAACAATAAAGAAAAAACAAAGATTATAATCTGTATAATCTGTGCTTCTACGCTAACTGAAACCACTAATTTATTCCACTAACTGCGAGGTTCACAATGAAGCTTTAAGCAGTTTGTACATCATAATATACGACTTTTTAGATGTTTCTGTCAACTTTATATCTATTTATATTGTTTTTTCTTTTCAGGGCACTGCGAATCTCCAATCTAGTATTAACGCCAAAGACGGTTTAGGTACCTTATCACTTAGTTCAATCTTCGCTGCCTTGGTAGTGAGCTGTATTTTCGTTCCCTCCTTCCTCATCAAGAGGCTCACAGTCAAATGGACGCTGTGCGTCTCCATGTTGTGCTACGCCCCCTATATAGCCTCTCAATTTTATCCTAGGTAAGATACAAAAATACAAACTATTATTTTACTATAAAACGAACGTAATATAAAAATATATTTTTCCTTGCAGATTTTACACGTTGATCCCATGTGGTATCATCGTGGGTATAGGCGCGGCGCCCATGTGGGCTTCAAAGGCCACCTATTTGACGCAAGTGGCGGGTGTCTACGCCAAATTGACAGACCAGCCGGTGGACGCCATCATCGTGCGGTTCTTCGGCTTCTTCTTCCTGGCCTGGCAGACCGCAGAACTGTGGGGAAACCTGATCTCTTCTCTTGGTAAGCAACATCATACTATTTAAAATCCTAGACACTATAAAATGGAGTCTAATGTCACAAATTCTGCTGCGGCCCGTATATGGGCGTTACATGCATGTCCTTGTATTCTTTAGTCATTGATTCAAACTATGAACTAACCACAGCTAACGTATTATTTCTATTTATTTTCTAGTACTTAGCAATCCTCACGGAACCGATTCTAGTCACGGCAACACTACCAACTACGACATGTGCGGCGCCAACTTCTGCGCATCGGTCGGCAACAGCGAGGAAGATACCGGCGTTGCCAACACCGAAATCTACGAGATCATGAGCATCTACTTGGCCTGCATCATGCTGGCAGTATTGTTAATCGTAGTCCTAGTTGATCCTCTGTCCAGGTACGATTCTTATAAGTCCATCTATGAGTCCGACGATGATGAAGATTAGTGCCAAAATGTCACTATTAATGATTGAAATCTACTTGTCTTTATTGACAAACAATAGAACACTATATCGGTTTTCATCGTCTTCCTAATTATTAATTAACTAATTCCAGTATTAATAAAAAAAAACAACAAAACACAGCGAAAACAAGGCCACCGTCGATTTTGCTAAAGGATTTCAACTTTTTCGATGCTTCGCGATGTGTCGCATTCCTGAACGAATTTTCGGTGACGTCACTTGATACCGCGCCCTATCGCGCAAGAATTTTATGCGTTTCGTTGTTTTGTCTCGTCACACACAACACAAAGAACGATAAAAATAAGAAATATTTGCTATACAGCGTGCGTAGAATATATGTACAGGGTGGTCCAGTAATAGAAGACGTCAGATATAAATCGGGAGCCGCTTATTAATCTTTGAACAAAAATATTAAGAAAAGAGTATAATGGGCTCCCATTTTTGACGGTTCTGTTTGACGTTTTATTTGACACATTAAGGGTGTATTCCGTTGCTTACCTTGGTTATGGTTGTATGTTCCGTTTCTATCGGTTTCCTGAAAGTTTTCTTATTACGGAACACGGTTCCGGAGAAATTCGGTTATAACTGTCACCAAAGTAACCAGCGCGAAAAAGCTGTTTTTTTCTGGTTTTGTTTGTCAATCAATGTCATTTATGTGACAGAAATCAAGCAAATATTGGAAGTTCGAGTGAAATTCTCATTTGATTTCTAAAATTTGTAATAATATTTTGTATTTACGTCCAAAAACAATGGAGGTAGGCAGTAAAGGTAAATAAATTTCATTAACTAAATAGAATGGCTTTTTAGAACCATTTAAACTTATCATGCAGCCATTGTTTCTTAAAGTCAGGAACGTTTAAAGTACACATGAAAAACAAGACAACAAGTAATCGTGAATGTTTTGTAAGCTATAAATATTAATTAGATTTGTTTATTTATTATTGATCTGTTTTAATATTGGACCTGCAAATCTTCACTTGAGCTGTCTAACGAGTTTAACAGTTTATAATTAAAGTACTTTTCAATATTAAACTCCATTGAAAAGAAGAAGCAAGAGAACATATTTTAGGCAAGTTAGAATAACAAAAAAAATAAAGTTTATTAACTGGTGAACCCAGAATCCTAAATCTGGCTGGGGGTTGGGGGTATTTCGCTACTGCGCAACCCATAACATTTGCAAAAAAATAAATCCAAAAAACATTCTTTAGGCAACTTGAAATTTGTTTATTCTTAAATTTTAGCATCTATTTAACCTAGAAATAAGTATGCCAGACTTTTAAAAGCTATACATTTTTAGTTATTCTAGCTTGCCTAAAATATGTTCTTTAAATATGTCGTCAGCTCTTAGGCTAAAAGAATAGTATTTTAGTTCTGACTGGAGAGACGAGATTAGCATATATTATAATTACTGAAACTTATTATTACGAGTAATAACATAAAACAGCACAAAAAGCGAACAATTAAATTGCATAACAATGACTAATTAGCATAAGCGAATGCATCTTCGATCACGATAATTGTGTGTAATGGATGCACTTGGCCGGCCTTGATGTAGGTACCACCGTTCTGCTACCGCTTATCAACTTGAAAAATTGTTACACGTGCTTATTGTGTACAGTCTACCATCCTTTGTATTTTGTTATTCTTGTATTTTGTCATTTTTCTTATCTAAGCTTTGGTATTTTCATAGATTCAATGAAAAGAATTGTTTCTAGTAAATATTATAAAACCACGATAATTCATGATGATTCTTGTCGAGTTTATTCCGAAATTTTCCAAATAATGCTGATTTTTTCTTCTTTTCGAGCATAGTGCAGCATGTACAGGGTGGTCGAAATTGGTCTGTTTTAACAGAGAAAACCTATTTCCTGACTAGATGGAGCAAGACCGACATAGATGTCATGGGCTCGATTTCTGAGACACGTTTAATGGCGTAAATCGCCTGTTGATATTTTCACTGCCAACTGAGATACCGAGTCTTTTTGAATTTTTTACCATTTGGAAAATTGCCTATAACTTTTGTATTTCGCGGAATAATAAAATTCCGTAAAAACGTTGTTAAGGCACTTTTTTATGCACAATCCAGTGGCGTAATCAGTTTTTTTTCTATACTTGCTCTTTTTGTCAGAAATAATAAAAAATATAATTTTTTAAATAGAAATCATAGTTGGCTATGAACTTAAAAAAATGCTGGCATTTCCGATATAACGATATAAAGTTATGTGTATTTATTTCTAAGAATGAGAGAAATATTAGGTTTTTTATATTTGTATCGAAGCGGGCCTTGATTTTAGTTGCCTAATTATTTTTTATCACAACCTGATAATCCATATTATGATAATATTTTATCACAATTTGATAATCCATATCATTTATCTGCATAATTAAAAATTGTTGAGAGGGTAAATCAACAATCTATATTAGTATTACCAATTACAATTAAAACGCCAGGGTTACAACTGGTACTATTAAATGTAGAATTTAGAGAGAATTGGATTGGAACAAGGAGCCCATATCTTGGTCTACTAGATCCTGTAATTTAACTCCTTTCGACTTTTTTATGGGGGAAATTTCACCACTGATGTTTATGTTAGCAATGTCGTTAATAAAAAGAAGAAACAAAATAGGGCCTAGTACTGAGCCTTGTGGTACTCCACATTCTATTGGCTTGCTAGAAGACAATGTGGTATCCACCCTCACAAGTTGACTTCTGTTGCTCAGATACGACTTAAACCATTCGAGAGATGTTCCCCTGAACCCATAGTGTTGCAGTTTATTAATTAGGATCTTATGATTTACACAGTCGAACGCCTTAGAAAAATTACAGAAAATTGTTGCTCTAGAATGATGGTTATTTAGGCTGGAGACTATCTAACCCTCTTCGTTTCTAAGCTACAAGATCTCTTCGAACAGCAGTAAGATACTCGGTATAATCTAGAACGTGTTGTACCTCCCTGTATGCGACAGTACGCCCATATTGGCGCCGGAACGGCCGCAACCATCGCCGGGTACCTTTCTCTGATCGTTCATCGAGGCCGCCATCTTGGAACCACCACGGATGCGAGGCTGAGGACAAGGCTGCTGCGATCTCGACCAAGAATTCGACACCTTTCTTTGATTTCATACGCATTATTACAATGGGTCCAACTACAAAGAGAGTATCTAAATATGTAAGGAACGCTACACCATAATTGGAAATGGTTGAATAAGCTGACAATGATGATGATATCGACAGGAACATTAAGATTTAGAAAAAGAAAAAAATTATTTTTAAGTATTTCGGCTTATTTGTCGCACCCTGTATATCGAAGCAACGGTACCGAAGACACCTTTACTGTTCGTTGCTGCTTTCTTCTGAAGAGAACGCGTCGCCGGTACACGCGGGGCAAAATAGAGGCCCCGGGCCGCGTGTTATTCAACGGGCTGTACGCATTTGCATACAGCCTTGCTATCCCGCTTTGGCTGCCGGCGCTAAATCGGCATTGTACGGAGGCACACTGTCGCGCAAACCGACCGACACCACAAGGAATTCTCGGCTTATCTGGTCGACACGATCTGATTGGCGAATGGAATATTTTGAGAGATCTGTATGGTTTTAACGTACGTTTCTTAATAAGCAAAGAAAGACAGTCAAAGCTGTAGTGGGTCTACTAACAGGGTATTGTAAGCTGAATAAGCAGCTGAAGCTTATGGGATTGATGTACAAAGCCAAGTGAAGGTTTTGTCCACAAAACACATACACAAGAAGAAGTGCGAGCGCCTTGCTAAATATTGGAAAGTGAAATTGACGTTTAAATTTGACACTGTTGACAAGTCTACTGCTACTAGCGCCCCCAATTTCGCTTGTAGGAACTACGGACTAAATTGTCACGCATGGCGGGAAGTTTAAAAAAATAAAAAATTTTATTTCTTCATTTATTTTTAATTATGACATACACAAAAACACAAAAAATACACCATTTTTTAAAAATATGTTTAATATCAATATCAAATATACAACAGAAATTAATTTCACCACAATAAATTAATAAAATTAAAAGAATAATGTTACAAGTAGATCAAGAGACAAAATTAATTATAACAAAACTGAAAAAAATGGCGTCATAGATGGCTTAGAAATAAAAGATATATCATAATTTTGAAAGTAAAATTATATGGGAAATGTCTTCGATCATCATTTTTAAGCCAACTGGACGATTATTTCAAACATACAAGCTGAGTTCGTTCATAGTGCTCTGAGAAATCTAGATAAACAAAGAATAATAAATTAAAAGTATTCCAGGGGAAAAGAGAGGAAAAACCTGTATCGTCTCTGATATCTGTCAGGGTATTGTTGAAAGTGTCATCTTTTTGCTCGAAGTTTTCAGGTCGATCAAAAAGATGACATTTACAACAATACTTTGCTGTAACTTTCACAAATATCAGAGAGAGTACATACAGGTATTGCCTCTCTTTTCCTCTGGGATGCTTTATATCTGTTGTTCTTTGTTTATCTATATTTCTCAGAGCATAATGCCGAACACGACTACAGTATATAATAATTTCAATATCCGAAGTGGAAAGAAAAAAGATCACCTTTCTGTTTTGTACTATGGTCCCTTTCTTCCGATGGCTCATCTCGTTGATATTTAGGAAGGATAAATAGGAAGGAAAATATAAAATTCAATTTGATTTGATGATCCTTTTCTGTCACCTAAAATCAGGAGAACGACAATGAGCATGTTAAGATGAAAAAAAAATTATCAACACTTACCTACACGTTAGTCCGAGGAGTTTTATTAAAAACCTATATATTTGCCTAAATAATTTATGTATTAAATTTGCAAAGCAAAATGCAGCGTGTAAACAAAAGAAATAAAATGGCGACAAGTCAACGTCAACGACCCGACAAGGAGAAAAGTGGTGTTCGAATAACAAATTATGGGTCACCAAAAATTGTTTTTGTCTCCTTTCAACGCACACTTTAGAAAGAAAAAGAGATGAACTGGAATACTGAAAGAACGTCAAGGTTTTATCTGTCACTCTTGTCAATAATTTATCGGTAAGGAAGATTCCTAGAAAATCGCTTGTAGTCAAGTTTTCAACCATTGCCAGTTCTCCCATAAGAAGTGTCATCCACCTGGTTTTGTCATTCTGAAGAAGAAACGACAGAACATGTTTTATGTAACCGCGACATCCTGGCAATTGTAAGGTTCTCTGTCCTAGGCAATGATACTTACTTACTTACTGCCATTACTCACTGACGAGTATTTGACACGCATCAGAAGATGGTTACGCAAGGCGTTTTCTTTCGTGAGCTTTTCTGCGACTAAAAAGACCGATACGTGATGTTATCTCCCTTCCGCACTCCGGACAAAAATCTCATTACTCTACATTTACTTTTTGGTTATCGTTTTTAACTGAGTTTACAATTCTTCTCCATAACGTTCTTTTGTGCGCTCCTTCCTCCCACTGATTTTGCATGCTTATCCCCTTTAAGTGTTCATGGAAAATATTCTTGTATCTTTTGAGTTGTCCACCCGGTTTCCTCTTACCGTCTACAAGCTCGCCATAAAGAAGAGATTTCGGTAGGCGGTGTTTCCGTTGCAACTTGTTTAATGCGTTCGTGTGCCGGCGGTACGGCACCCAGGTTTCGCTTCCATATACCATGGTGGGGTTTATTATTGCTCGGTACACTGCAAGTTTCATTCTTGTGCTCAACTCATGTTGGTAGAAAACCCTGTCTTTTAATTTCCAGAATGCTCTTGAGGCGCTTCTAATCCTGTGCTGAATTTCAGAGTCGATATTGGCCTTTTCCTAAACCAAACTGCCGAGGTAATTGAATTCCGCTACATATTCAATAGTTCTTCTCCGATTTTTATAGCATTGTTGTGATATTCCGGAAGAGTACACATGATTTTAATTTTATCGATGTTCAGCTTAAGGGACAAAGCCTCGTATGCCCAGGAATATGTGGTGAACATTTCTTATAATTGCTGTAACGTTTTTGCAATTAGAGCAACTACGAGGAATTAGGAGACCTAGAAGAAGCCAAACCTGAGATGGGACCATGATATTGGGAAATTAGCAGGGATAACTTGGGCCTGCATAGCTAACTATAAACAACAATGGGCCCAACTACAAAGAGGTTATCCAAATATCTGAGGGAGGCTACGCTAAGAATCGCTTTTAAATAATTTGTGCGATGCCTAGTCGCCATTGATTTCGTTCATTCCAGTCTCCGTCACGCAGATACCTTGAGCTCATCCATCCAGTTTGTCCTTGGTCTTCTCCGTTTCCTTTTTTTTGTGGAAACCAGTTTAGTACCTTCTGAGGCAGTCGCGTGTTGTCCATCCTTTCACATGTCCATACCACTTCAGTTGGTCACTCTCTATTTCCTCTACTATAGTTTTTTGTCTACCCATTTTGTCCCTGATTGTCTCGTTTCGTACAGATTGCTCTTGATTATCGCATCATAAATTCTTAGTTTTCTGTCTTTACCTATTTCGTTACCCCAGAGTATATTATTCAGACATTTTATTGCATTTCTTGCCTTGACTATTCTCGAGCTTATTTCGCTGTCGTCTTTCCCGGATTTATCGAAAGTAACGCCTAGGTATTTGTATTCGTTACATGTTTGTATGTATTCATTATCCAGTTTTATTGCTGTTTGATCCGATCCAATGCAGAGATATTAATTTTTTTTATATTCATCTCCAGTCCCCAAACTTGGTATTCCTCTTTAAGTTTTCGTGTCATATATTCTAAGTCATCTTTGTCTCCTGCACAAATAACCTGGTCGTCAGCGAACTGCAAAGTATATAAACAATAATCTTCAGTAATTGGTATGCCCAAATGCCCATGCCTCTACCCTTGCTTTTCCACTGCTTTAAAACTTGGTTAACGTATATTTTAAATAAAGTTGTTGACGGGCAACACCCTTGTCTTAATCCTTTTGATATTTTATCTTCAGTTTTTATTGAGGAACAAGAATGTTTATATATCTTTTGTATTGCTATTTAAAATATAACCTTAAACAGAAAAAATCTGGGCTCTTATGTTTAAAGGAATATATTTTTTGAAAACTGCGTCTATGTTACTAAACTAACATAAACAAGCTTAGCAAATTAATCCGGTACAATCCGCATCGGTTCGCACAAAACCGGTCTCGTTCTTCATCGAAAATATTTTAATTCTTTTCCCATATTTTATAATAAAACATTGCGAATGGTATTTCTATAGTAAAAAACATTTTATCTCTGAGTATTATGTACGTGTTCACGTAACAAGTAAAAGAACGTTTGCTGAACAATTATTATTTTCTAAATAAATTGCAGTTAAGCAGAGAGAATGCAAAAAAATACCGATATTATACGAGGCGATTGTAAAAAAAGAAAGTAAAGTAGTTTCTACAGAGGCTTATAATGGATCAAGCCAGTGTTGTCAGAAATTTTCGAGCGAATTTTTCCAACGGAGTCTTAAAAAACCTTCATACTCCTTTAACTTCACAAAAAAAATCGAGAACTTGTGAAAAATCACCGAATTTCGTGTAATTTACCTATTTTATAATTAGGAGAACATTTTTAAAAACTTATTTCTGGTAATTTTTGGACACCGATGTATTGAAATAAAGTTTTTGTCCACGACCACTTAATAATAAATCAATATTCTACTTCCTAGCTGAAGGAATATGGTGCCCGTATTTGTAATAGAGTGAAATATAACAGCTCATAACAGTAAATTATGATAAATCACACAAAACCGCCAACGTGACACTCACAACATCCCGATGAGCGGCGTGGATGATTTGACGTTTTTCTTATCCTTTCTTCTTCTTCTTCTTCTTCTTTCTTCTCTCTTCAAACTCTCCTTTTCAGGAGAGAGTTGCGTTGCCTAGGCTGCCAGGACCATTCTAGCAAAGTACTTTTCTGCTTTTCTTTTTTCTTTTTTTTTCTTTTTATTAATTTTGACGTTTAAAATTGTCAAATGATAAAAGAAAATAATCTTCTATTAAGATAGATATGAAACTTAATAGTAAAATTTTGGGTCAAAGCGCCCCTCCGTGTTCTTAGTAGAAACTACGTTTAACCCAGCGCCTTCGCCTTTTCTGCTGTAAATATTTTTTATGTTTATATTTGATTTCAAAGGATTTAGTTTTAAAGTTAAAAAAATCCTTTATTCTGTATTATATTTAATAGATTTTTCTTTTATTTTCAGATATGGAGAGAGGCAAAGAAGAAACAGCGCTCCCGAAATCAGCGGCATCCAGCTTCTCTCAGCTACGGCCTACCAACTGAAAAAACCCTACCAACAATTGCTCATACCCATCACGATATACATCGGTGTGGAGCAAGCCTTCATAAGTGCTGACTTCACACAATCTTACGTTTCCTGTGCCTTAGGTAAGTATTTAAGTATTTTTCTGTACGTTAAATAACTGTAAGGCACCACTTTATCGACATGGTTCAACTGTACATTGAGTGCACGAGTTTATATCGTCGTGGTAGGGCTATAATTTATTTGAGGCATAAGAGAATTAACCTAAGAAGTTTATAATTTACTTTTATACTGAGTAAAAATGATTTTTAAATGTGCGGTTTAAATTTCGAAAAAAAAACAATTTTTTTGAAAATAGATTTGTGTGTCTTGGAACGATCTATCCCTTTTTAATCTTTCTATAATAAGTGTTAATTTTTGGCAAGTTTTATGTCAATTTTTAGAAGACGACTTCTAGAGAATGACTCAAAATTATCATCGATTGTCTTTCCCCAGCCGTCTTTGACGTCGTTTTTTTTCGATTATACGGTATTACTACATGTATACTAGAATAGGAAGAAGTCATATACCGTATGAGCGAAAAAAACGGCGTCCAGTTTTCTTGGTAACATCGATGAGACATTCGCCATATAAATTTACATAAGTATAAAAAATGACAGCGATCTTCATTTCATAGCCATTGCTGGCGCCGTTTTTTTTTTCGATCATACGGTATAATCTCCAATTAATGAACAAAGCTTCTAATAATCCACGACCAAAGCATAATTAAACAATACTTTTCTTGGGATTTTAAAACATTTATTTACCATTAAAAATCAATAATATCTACACAAAAAATTTCCATATCTATTCCTAGAACTATTTTTCTTAAAAGGTAAAGGAAAAAGACGTTCATTTTTTATTAAGTACTGGATAATATCAAATTGTTTTGCCGTTTGCCGATAAAAATTTATGGCTATCATTCTAGTGTTTAATCGTTTGGAGGAGTTAAATAAAATATAGTCTCACGAAGGCGATAAAATCGTAACCTGGAAGGGTTAAAAATTCTAGTTCTACCACGTCGATATAGTATTGCAAATCCTGCTAAAACGTAAATAAACAAATTTACGTATGAAAATAAAGTAACCAAGTTATACGGAGCGTTCAACAATGATCAAAATAGCTGGCAGTACTTTTTTAGAGGATTTTAGGGTTAGTGTTTGGTCGTTATGGTAAAACAAATTAAATATAGTGTTCAACATGGAAACGAAATACTTATTATATTTATTTCTTACTGAATTTAAGTAATTTTGTACCATTTTAAAACGACACAAATATATTACATTTATTAATCTTCCGGTATATTTGTATTACCGCTGCTAATAGGAACTTTGTTGCCAGGATATTATTGTATTAAATGACCTGTTTATAAATTGACGGTTGTTGTCAATCGAGTTCAATTTTTTGTCAAAAAAAATACCTTTCGCACAAATTCGGCAAACGTTCGAGTATGTTTCCATTAAAATGGAGGAAATATTAAAAAAGCTGAAGAAGCACAACAAGCATTCTTCTTACAGTGCCATATTCTATACAGAGCGTCTGCCACCTCTCGCATGTAGTGTCATCCGTGTTTCACAAGTACACGGGAGCTACAGCTTATCGCCGAATCCGAACGGCACTATTTGAGAGGCTGTACAAGGCAAATATACTCAAGGTGGTTTGCCATTGCCTTTCTTGAGCTGGCGGCTCGCTGGTCGCTCTATTTAGATAAATAAATATTTTTAATTAAATAAATAAAGCCCCAGTACCATACCATCTGTCGCACCGCAGATCAACACACTACTGCTTGCGCTACGGCCGGCCACAACAAGCATTACTTCCCCCTAAAGCACACCTAAAGATTAATACCTTCAGTGGCTGGGGCAGAAAAATATTGTAGCAGGAGATGTCGATAAAACTGTTCTTTTGTAAATTTATTTTATGTGACATTAATGATGTAAATAAATTATTAAAGTAGTTAGATTAGTGTCCATTTTCATTTTATATTATTACTCAAAATCTCTATTGTATTTCATGGTTGTTACCTATAAATTGTATGACTATATTTATGGTTAGCGTAGTCAAGACCCAAGACGATATAAACTTATATTAATTCAGTAAGAAATAATATAATTTTATATCACAATTTTATGTATTATATTTTTGGTATTTTTGATATACTTATAATTAATTTGACTTTTAGGTGTCCAAAATGTCGGCTTCGTCATGATCTGCTTCGGCGTGGTCAACGCCATCTGCAGTTTGCTCTTCGGCAGCGTGATGAAGTACGTGGGTAGGGTGCCCATCATGATCCTGGGAGTATGTGTCCACGCAGGACTCCAAGTGTGGCTGCTCATCTGGAGACCGCATCCTGCCACACCACTCTCGTTCTTCATGGCCTCCGGTCTGTGGGGTGTCGGCGACGCTGTCTGGCAGACACAAGTCAACGGTAAGTCGCGCGTTTGAATTTTACGCATACGGTCGCTTTAGAAAATAAGAAAAAAATTATTCGAGCGTCTTATTCAAAAGACTGACTATTTGGGCGCGACCAACACTCATAACAAATTTTTAAGAAATACGTAGTTCGCAACACCGCACTTTTTTACTCTAGCTCTATGAATAAAAAGATTATGGAAGGAGTATAATGCTATCCATGTATTCACGCATGGTGGGCGGAAAAAGGACTCTAGGGTGAGGATCCTTGACAGTTCTGTTTGGCGATTCATGTGACACATTTGAATTTGATTTGTGGATTGACACATTTGAAATTTTGTGGATTTGTCAGTCTTTACGGAGCTTATTTTATGTTATTTATTATTTATTCTACTACTGATAGTTGTATAAAGGTAATAAATCTAGATGGAAATTGTGGCAGAACTTAAATTAACAGTGACACTATTGTGATTTATCGAAAAAGACTGTAAAATAGTTGATTGTGTACCATTGTGTACTACCAGTCATGGCCTATGCATGCCAAACCTGGACACTTAAAGCGAACATTATAAGGAAACTGCAGGTCGCAACGTTTTAATAAAGACTCATTATTATTATTATTATTGTGTAGAGTGCGGTAGATCTCGGTCAAAAATTGAGTGAAATAATGGAATAACTTTTCCCTAGTAAGTGACTATATGATATACATACAAGATTTTTGATATGCTCCTTCCTTAATCTTTTTATTCAAAGCTCTAGCTATATGCAGTCAAGAGACATTAGACGGACGTTTTTTGTTGCCTCGCCCTGTAGAACTAGGAAGGCGAGTCGCCGGCTTTCTGTTTCAACGTTCATTAGGTAACTGGTTGAAACCGGTTGATCTTTAGCTCGGGGCAAGGCTGTTGGGTCGCCAACCAACCAACTGGCTTTCCGCTAAACTAAAGACACATTATACGCATTCATACAGAATCCTGTTTATTATTTTATTTAAATTCATACAATATTCATAGATTCTCTATATAAACACGTATATATTTTTAGAAATACTTAGATTAACGTCATTTATTATTTCTCGTTAGTTATGAATGATTTTTTTTTAACGTGTGCAACAAGAAATGGAATAAAATATCTTCAAATGTATATCACTGAACTTGTGGAAGAAACTGAATCATATTCAAATCTAGAATTTTATCTTTTTTTTTTAAATTCATTTATCTAAAGAAGAAAACATTCGACCAATGTGTACTACCAGTCATGACCTATGCATGCAAAACCTGGACACTTAAAGCGGACATTATAAGGAAACTGCAGGTCGCACAACGCTCAGTGGAACGAAATAAGCTGAGAATAACCAAGAAAGACCGTAAAAGAATAGAGTGGATACGACTAAAGACTCAGGTAATGTCATCCACAGAATCACATCCCTTAAGTGGCAATCGACGGGACACCTGGCAAGAAGGACGGACAACAGATGGACCACAAAAATTACAGCATGGTACCCTTCATCTTCTTCTTCGGTTGGAGATTCAACTGGCTATGATGGTGCGTGAAACCACACCTCTGAAAATTTCGATCGATGTTCTTCCGAAGCAACGACGCAGATCCTTAAGCGAGGAGTTTTGCCTTCTTCCCACTGATCTCCTGCCCTAGATTTTGCCTTCGATGACCAGCCTGAGCACCTCGTATCGATCACCCCTCATGATGTGACCGACGTACTGTAACTTCCTTTCCTTCACTGTTGATAGGAGCTCTTTATCTTTGCCCATCCGCCTGAGTACCTCCTCATTTGTCACTCTATCCATCCAGGATATACGCAGCATACGACGATACAAGTACGTCTCAAAAGCGTTAATGCGGTTTTCCAATGTCTGATTGAGTGTCCAACTCTCAGAGCCGTAGAGAAATACTGGAAAGATGTAGCAACGCAGCATACGTATGCGCAGTTAGATCTCGGCTGGAGGAGAGGGTTTTCATGGAAGGAAAAGTACGCCTGGCCTGTTCGATCTTCGCTGTAATTTCAGTTTTGGAGTCGCAAGCGTCGTTAACTATGACTCCTAGATACTTTATGGACGATACTTGTTCTGAGATTCTGATACTTGACTGTCCTCAGAATTAACACCAAGGTGTTAATTCTGAGGACAGTCTTGTGTTTTAGAGAATATTATTAGTTTTGTATTTCTGTGAATTAGGATTTTAAACAACGTTGCAGTTTGTACTAAATTAGGCTTCTAGCCAACGTCGGTATCCAACGTCGTTTCGACCCAAAAATGATTCTCCAAACTAGTGCAGACTAGGGTTGGCACGAGGTTGTGCCGACGTTGCGCCCCGACGTTTGGTCGCGTAACACAACGTTGTCCCGACGTCCAAATGCTGCTTGGGTACCATCCTCAACGCTCTCTAGTGCCTCACGGAATACCGCCTCGGAGTAGATGTTGAAAAGGAGTGGGGATAATACACACCCCTGCCTGACGCCCTTCCTAATTGCTACTTCATCAGATGTTCCGCCATCCGCCCTGATCTCTGCAGTCTGGTTCCAGTATAACCGGGTGATAATGCGCAGGTCCCCCTCATCCACACCGGTGGTTCTAAGAATCTCGACAAGCCTTTGGTGCGACACACAGTCAAAGGCCTTTTTATAATCTATAAAGCAGGCATATATATCGACGTTCATGTCCCTGCATCGCTGTGTAATAACGTTCAGTGTAAAAAGTGCCTCGCGCGTGCCAACTCCAGTCGAGGAATTAAGAGACCTAGAGGAAGATCAAACATGAGATGGGACCATGATATTATGAAATTAGCAGGGATAACTTGGGCCCGCATAGCCAAAAGTAGACGACAGTGGGCCCAAAGAGTATCTAAATTTGTGAGGAAGGCTACACCATAATTGGAAATGGTTGAATAAGTTGAAAATGATGATGATGATGATATACAAATCTAACATATGCTCAAGTTAAAATTAATAACATTAAACCAAGTGTTTTCTTACGAGAGAACCAAGGAACAATCATGTTCATACAAAACCGACTAGTAGACGAACTACAATCGGATGAGATTCTGGGAATGGTCTCGGATCTTACACCACCAATCCAACTCTTGACGCGCACCTACAACGTCCTGTTTCCGAATAGGGACGAATGGGATAAGCCGAGAAACGGCTTATTACTTGCGGAAATGTGTTGGTACACGGACGGATCCACAAACGATAAAGGATCTGGCGCAGGAATTTACTGCAGCAGTCCAAAGACTGAGATCTACCACAGTCAATCTACAATTTTCCAAGCTGAGCTATATGCGATTGAAACCAGTGTGCAACAGCTGGTAGAACAGCAATACACCGGGAAAACAATAAGCATATTTTCGGATAGTCAAGCCGCGTTGCAAATCAAGCACTTGAGGCAACGAAAAGCACGTCCAGGACGATTCTTCGTTGTAAGAAGCTACTCAATATATTAGGAGATGAGAACAAAGTATCGCTAATATGAATACCGGGACATGTCGGCCTAGAGAGAAGTGAACGTGCTGATTCACTCGCCAAAACTGGTGCAGGCTCGCCATTCGTGGGCCCAGAACCGACACTTAGCGTACCAAAAAATCTCGCAAGAGACAGGCTCTGTGAATGGGTTAGGGGTGCGACGTTTCGGGATCGAATGGAACATGCCAAGACAATCCTAGCAGAGCCATCCAAACGTAGAACAGATGAACTCCTAAAGGCTGATAAGAACGGAGCGCGTACGCTTACTGCAGTATAAACGGACCACTGCCGGCTGAGATCACACCTACAGAGGATGGGACTGGTGGAAGACGCCGAATGCCGATTCTGTATGGAAGATGACGAAACAATGAAGCACGTTATGTGTACCTGCCCCGCTGGGGGCAGGACCAGGTTTGAGGTGTTTGGCAAACCCACGCTAGACCTATCAGACCTAGAAGACATATCACCCTCGGACATAACGGTCTATGTTAAAAGGCTGGGTCTTGAGGGTGAACTTTAATGCTCTTTTTCTATTAAAGAGCTTGTAGAAACTGAGCCACAATAGGCCCTCGCGGCCGCAGTGGAGGGTCCCACCTGGGACCCACTCTTAGTCAAATACAATACAATACAAAATACAAGTATTTTCTTTTTTTTTTCGTGTATCTATAACTTTTATAAAACACCAAGTAATTCCAATTTTAAATAATAAGTGCAATTACACTTGACATTCGTTCAGTTTTTTTATTAGCACGTTATTTTTTTCTAATAGCGGGTCTATAGATTTTATTAGCGCTGTTAATTTAGTAGCGCTTTGTTATCCGCTCATTAAAGCGGTACTAATGAACGTAATTTGCCGCAGAATCTTCCTTCGAATTAACGATCACGTAAGCGACCTGTCATTAGCGAGAAACAAAACGATTTATTATGACATTACGTTCTTGCATGAATTTCGTTTTCCGGCAAAAAAAATAAATTCGCAAGGATTCGATAACATACCGTGTATAAAAATTCGCCAAAAATAATTATGTATTTGCAAAACTGAACTTACTAATGAAGGTCGGTTCACACATATGTCAGTCATGGTTCAGTTCATTTGCCGTACCGTCTTAGTCTCGTTTAGTCAACATCTGTAATGATTATACATTCATTCTTTACGCTATATCTACTAGCACAAATTAACCAACTAAATACAGCCAGCAATAAACTAGGTCACAAAAATTCCTGACTAATACAGGAGTTAGGCAGGGATGTGTCTTCGCGCCTCTCCTATTCAACATATTCATGGCAGCGCTCTCCATTATAGTGGACAGCAAACTGCAGGAGAGAGGATTGGGCATTAGATACAGATATGACGGCGGTCTGTTCAACGTAAAAAGACTGAGGGCAAAAACACGTACAAAATTCATCACAGAACTTAAATACGCTGATGACTGCGCTCTAATTGCAAACACGTTACATTTTTTATACACGTTTTTTTTTACATTTTTTTATACACGTTTTATTTTTGATATGCTCCTTCCTTAATCTTTTTATTGAAAGAACCATACTGCTATGTAATCTATCTCTTTTTTTGGTTATCTCGTAAATTTACTAACCGATTATCATCTGCCATTTCCAGGTCTGTACGGCGCCCTCTTCAGGCGAAACAAAGAGGCCGCCTTCTCCAACTACCGTCTCTGGGAATCCGTAGGTTTCGTCGTGGCCTACGCCTACTCCACGCACCTCTGCGCGCGCATGAAGCTCTACGTCCAGCTGGCCATCCTCGTGTTCGGCTTCCTGCTCTACTGCGTGGTGGAGATCCACCACCTGCGCAAAGTCAAGAGGCAGAAGGCCAAGGAGAAGAAGGCGGCGGAACTGGCCGCCAGCAAGCAGGCGGCCGCGGCGGCCGCCATCGAGGCCGAACCGGAAACGACGGACGACGAGAAAGACGACATCGACGACGAGATCATCGTCACGCATTTGTAGACTACGTATTTATTAGGTATGTAGACTGGGTTGGGGCAAGAACAGTTAACCAAATAGGACTGCTCATTCAGCCGAAAGTGTCTGCCAGATGCATGCGAAAACTCCTCGCTTTGTGACGTCATTGTAGTCCTTGTCATGATAGTGTGTGTATTATTGGTTGCCGTATGCAAAACTTTCATTATTTGGTTTATTTATTTAAACACCTTATGTATGCAGTATAGAAAATTAACTGTATAAATCGTATTAAATACTTGGATAATGTATTTTTAAGAACAGCAGTTACCAGCATCCCATTTTGCAGACATTCCTTTTAGAGTACTTCCATATTTTGCTTAAAAATAATTAATAAACAATATCGTTGGCACTTAGTCATAATCCACAACACAAACTGAAAGTATTTTTATATACTCTATAGCTCTAAAAACTTTAAAAACACCTTTTTCACATTTAAAATCGACAAAATAATTAACTCAAAATGTCTCAGCTGTTATTTTATAACTTTACTATAGGCAACCAATAATACACACTATCATGACAAGGACTACAATGACGTCACAACTGTCAGTGAAGAGCGGAAATAGGCGAACGTACGAAAATACTTATGAGGATGAGCAATCCTATTAGTTTACTATAGTTATTGGGGTTGGGGGAGGTAGAATGATTTTATCGATGCGGTAAGACTAGTTTCCTAGTCTTATCGCATGGATAAAATCACATTTTAAATTTGTGGTGGAGACTTTATCGATGCTGTAGGACTAGTTTCCTAGTCTTACCGCATCGATAAAATCATATTTTAAATTTGTGGTGGAGACTTTATCGATGCGGTAGGACTATAAAAAGTCAGTGTATGCCGCAGAGATATAGAGGTAGGGAAAATGAGTATACGTGGGCAGAAATACCAATTATTAAGCTTTAAGCTTCATTCAGAACCTCGCAATTAGTGGAATAAATCAGTGGTTTCACTTATACTTTTTAGTTTACGATCATTCATAACCTTTAAAAAACACAATTAAAATTAATATAATTTCCTAGCACCAGCTTGCGTTAGTCAGTTGTATCCATAGAGAAAGCCTAACATTTAGCTTATAAAACAATGAACTTTTGATTTTTAACCACAATTTCTCTTGACGGAAGATAATCGAATGCCAGCATGACATTTTTCGCAAATTTTGAAGATAATTAGTGGAAAAGTTAAAAGTTTGATAACTTTTTCCACTAATTGAAAATGTCTACCACTAATTTTGACGTTCTGAATGCTTACATTGAAATTAAAAGAACAAGCTTATAAGCTTTAAGCTTCATTCGGAACCTCGCAATTAGTAGCTATAAATAAGTGGTTTTAATTAGCGTAGAAGTGTGTTCCTTCTCAATGTAAGCATTCAGGAAGTCTAAATTAGTGGTCATTTTCAATTAGTAGAAAAAGTTAACAAACTTTTGACTTTTCCACTAATTATACTTCAATGTTTGCGAGGAATGTCATTTTAACCTTTGATTATCATCCGCCAAGAGAAATTGTGGTTGGAAATCAAAAGTTGATTGCTTTATAAGCTAAATATTTGGCTTTCTCTATGCATACAACTGACAAACGCTACTAAGCGGTTGCTAGGATATTCTATTAATTTTAATTGTGTTTTTGACATTGTGAATGATCGTAAACTAAAAAGTATAAAGTGTAATTGAAACCACTAATTAATCCCACTTCTGAATGAAGTGGTCATCGTTCTCAGCTTGTTCAACCATTTCCAATTATGGTGTAGCCTCCCTCACATATTTAGATACTCTCTTTGTGCTTGGTCCCATTGTTGTCTATTGTTGGCTATGCGGGCCCATTTTATCCGTGCTAATTTCTTAATATCATGGTCCCATCTCAGGTTTGGTCTTCCTCTAGGTCTCTTAATTCCTCGTGAATACCATGCTGTAATTTTTGTGGTCCATCTGTTGTCAGTCCTTCTTGGAGTCAGTCCTATATAAGACCTGTCAACACATTTCTCCCGGTTTTTTCATAATATCTAATTCTTCTAAACAGGATTAGTGGTCATTCTGTTTACAAACGCCAACGGAAATTAATTTTCTATAAATTTCCGATTATTTTTAGAAATAATCTATTAAAAATTAGCATATTCATAAAGCAAAAGGTATTTCTGTTTAACACGCAAAATTACAAGATTCGCCGGCGCTGACTTAAACAAACAATAAATAAATAATAACCATTTTTTTCTTCCGTCCCAAACTGTTGTGTTTAATTCCTCGCTCAATTAACAACTAATTATAACATACGTAACCGGTCGCAACACCAAGGTCTCTCGGACCGCCTTAGTTTACGTAGGGGAGAGTGGACTTATGTGGAACACACTAGATACATCCAAAAATTGACAGAAAATACAATTTTCTGGTGATTTTAAATGACGGGTAATTCTAAAAAGGAACAATGTTCCACTGCAAGGTCTGCCAGTAAACATAGTTATTATTTATAGTACCCCTTATCTAGGTAAAATTAAGTGAAAATTCCATTATCTTATTTGCCATAGCAGTTGCGCCCCCTCGCGGTCATTCTACAAACTTGAAAATAATTTCCAGCCATTTCTCGTGGCTTCTTTAGTTATGAGCAATCGCAAAACATTTTCCAATGCACGTCAGTAATCATATCGACATTGACACTAAAGTCTATAAACCTGACTATATAAATGAAATTTTGGCAAAAATGTTTAAATTTGTTGTATAATTTAAGATACCGAGCAGCTCTTCACCTTACTTTGTAGAGCAAATGATTGTAACAGATATTTTATTTAGATTAAAGCTGCAAAAATTAGTTTAAACCGAATTTTATTATCGCTATGTTGGTCACATTGCGCTGTTTTCAGCAAGGTTGTTTATTATTTGACAATTATCCTAATGTCAGTCATTATTTTGTATAATATCGTGTTATTGTTGAATCTTTGTGAGTAATTCTCGTTTTTTGCCTATTTTAAAAAATTTACTTTTAAACACAAACAGTTCTTTTAAAATCTAAATTTTCGAGTTTTTGTATTGCATTTCTTGAAATTGTGTGTTGAAAATATACCAAAGCATTTAAACAGTTGAAGCAAAGAGCTTGTAGCTTCCCTGATAAATAGTTCAGTAATATTATGGCTCAAATTGCGATATATCCGACAAAATTCATAAAGTTTTCAAAATTGTTGGAAATAATCAAGACATCATATGTATTAATAAACTGAAAAGTTCCCACCCCTAAATAGTGTGCCTCATCCCCCAGGACATTGTTTCTATAGTCTATAAAATGAATAACTTTGAATTTTGACCGTTATTTTTTACCAACATCGCAAATATAAAAGCCCTCTATCCAAAAAGTTACTGATATTCTTTAAAATGAGTGCCTGAACGAGAATCAGATAGGTAACTCTTTTTACTTTCGTGAAATAGAAAAGGAAAATAATAAAACAGGTTACAGTTCTTCCTCTTCTTGCAAAAATCAACTCAAAATATCATAATTGACAAAAGTAAAATGTCATCAGCCTTTGAAATTTCTATATATCAGACCAATGCCGTCTCTAATAGAACAGCCTTGGAGCGAGATTTATGACGTCACGCTAGTTAGATACCACGGATTAATAAATATGTTGTAGAATACACGGAAAACATATTTCTTCCTCGTATTTTTGGTTTGTATTTTAAAAATAATATAGTTTACATGAAATATACATAATATACAGTTAATAAATACAATATATATACCTATTTATAGTAATAAATACTTTGGCAAATAAACTATGAACCATACAAATGCATCAAATGTTTTGCAATATACAAATAATGAATAATGAAGATAATGGGTAAAATGTAAAATATATTTTAGATTATGGGGTTTGAAAATCGATCTAATTCAACAAAAAACATTCAATATCTACTAATAGTGATGTATTATTATTTGCATTCACAAAAATTATAAAATATATGAAAATATAATAATAAAATTATAAAATATATTCATGAAAAATTATATTACAAATAATACAATATCATAGAAAAAAAGGCGTCAGTAAAATTATTCTAAAATTTTTGATTTTCTTCGGATTTAGGTTCGGGAAAAACGCTGATTAAGTTTTCATTTGGTTTTCCATTATTTTTTTGGTTTAAAAAAAAAGGTTATAGCTAACGTTTATAGCCTTCATCAGTTTTGTGTCATATGAATAGTGTCGAATATAATCCAAAAAATTTATTAATTTTTTTAATTATGTTTTCCATGCATTCTATAACATAATTAATCCGTAGTATCTAACTGGCGTGACGTCATAAGTCTCGCTCCGAGGCTGTTCTATTAGAGACGGCATTGCATCAGCATGGCCGCAAGTTGCTAACCTAATAAAAGTAACACTAGAAAAGCCCGCGGGAACTGTCAAATTCAAAGTTATTCGTTTCACAGACTATACCCCCATTTTGAGTTTTTTTAGATAATCTCGGCAACGGTGCAATTCTCGACAAATATACCTATATAGAAAATTGTTCTTCATAAAATTTTCTATGAAAAAGATAATCATACTTTTTTTCTAAAGTTAATAATAAAGTGGCAAATACGGTGCAAATATAAGGGTTGGTTATTACTAGCACTATCTGCAGTTCAATCTAATTTAAAGTTTAATGTTTAACGCTAACAGAAAGCAGTATCCACTAAATTATACTTAGAATTTTAATATACGTTCTTCTCTCACACTCCTCTACCCCTATAAAAAGGGAGTTTTGTACTTTTTTCCACTGTTTTTTATCACACTAGAGGTAAAGTATTTGATGCGTTTTTTTTAAAGTGGTATCGCCTGTAGGCCTAATCCACTCATTATCAAATGTTAAAGATGGGATTTTATTTAAAAGTTTAAAAGTGTGTCGTGCCAGTCGTGTAAAGCGGATATCTAGTTTGAGCAATACAATGAAAATTAATGTCAATGATGTTCAAGTTGACTCAACATTACTATTTCAAAGAATTATTTGCACCGTTCATTCTAGCCTGTAGTTAAAAAAGTGCTTTAGTTTCGAATTAGCTTCAGTACCTCTTTCTCTTTTCGATGCGAAAGGCCTAATGAGGAAAACTAATAAAGCAGCTTTATACCAGATTGTCAATAAAGTTCCAGAACGAGACCATATTTTTGAAAACAGCGAGTGTGTCATTGATGGAGGATATTTGCTTCGCCGCGTAATATACACACCTCTAGGGTGATGTGGAAATAATTACAAATCACCCTTTTTATAGGGGTAGAGGAGTGTGAGAGAAGAACGTATATTAAAATTCTAAGTATAATTTAGTGGTTACTGCTTTCTGTTGGCGTTAAACATTAAACTTTAAATTAGATTGAACTGCAGATAGGGCTAGTCATAACCAACCCTTATATTTGCGCCCTATTTGCCACTTTATTATTAACTTTAGAAAAAAAGTGTAATTATCTTTATCTAAGAACAATTTTCTATATAGGTATTTTTGTCGAGAATTGCACCGTTGCCGAGATTATCTAAAAAACTCAAAATGGGGCACACTATTTAGGACCTATTTTTTTTCCTCATACTTGTTATTACCACTTATGGCGTTGTAAGATGTACATCAATAAATAACTAAATAACCCATAATAGCGCTTAGAATAATCTTCATAATGGACTAGTTTTTGCCAATATGTAATAAATAAAATAAGCTATAAAACAAATAAATCAATTACTTACTAAAATATTAGTTATTAAATTAAAAATAAAACGTAAAAATCTTTAAAAATTATATAATAAATATATTGTTTGTCACTTTTAAATTAAGATTCATCTCATAAATCCATCACAATCTGGCAGCGCTGTCGCCATAGCTTGTCACTCAAAGTTGTTCACGTGCATCGGAAATTGTTTTTGCGATTACATATGTATTTTTTCCACAGACTCTACAGCTAATACTTTTTGAGATGCAGCCTATTCTTAGTGGAACACCCGCTACATAAAGTTTTGTTCCATTCTCCCCCTACATAATTTACATCTAGCGCCACCTAGACACCAAGGCTGTATCGCTTACGGTGTCAAGTGTCAGTGGTCATCGAACACTGCGGTAGTAACCAATATACCTATATGCTGAGCGACAAAAATTAACTTACACAGATATATCTTTTACTTGTTGAAAAAATCCTGCATTTTGTACCACTGACATGTGTGAAAAAGTGACATATAATGCTGTTTTAATATAAATTAATGTTATTTTCAATTAATTTCTGTAATCTGTACAGGGTGGGTCAAATTCGACGCTTTTAAATGGAAACGCCCTTTTCTATAGGAGATAGACAAAAACTAATATCGGTGTCTGGAGCTCAATTTTTGTCAAAAACATGATGTTGAAAACTGCATATCGATATCTGTTACGGTTTCGAAGTTACGGGGTGTTTTTCAAAATTATGCATTTTTAACAAATCGCTGTAACTTTTTTGCTATGGAAAATGTTGTATTTTTACGAAAACATTTCCAAACCACCTTTTTACGTAGAATTTAATGGTTTAAGTATATATTTTTTAAAATTAATAATATAAGAATTATCAACAGAAAATTTGATTTTTTATATGGGACACTCTGTATATTTTTAATTTATTGAAAATAATTTAAAATTACCTTTCCAAAAATATAACACACTTGATATTTTACTCGATTCCTCTTCGAGATATAGAGTATATAAAAATTCGCCAACTTTAAATAAGTAGGCTTTGAACGGCACCGGCTGTAATGTAAAGAAATTCTAGCTGTGAGCATCAATTAAAATAAAAATAATATTTGCTGAGAGATGCAGAGTTTTATAACAATTTAAAATATATTTAACCAACATCAACACATTTAAACTATACCTAATAACAATAAAAATAAATAGCAAACCAATACATGAGATTTTGCTACAGGTCGACATATCGACCGTCTTCTGTTATGGACAGACGGGGCAGTTTTTGAACATTTCTCGCGTAATTCATTAACTCAGTGGGGGTGAAAGATACCCTCTCATAACTGCTAAGTATTTCTAATTCTTGTCTAGATTATACGGAAGAATAAGGAACCTTTATTCTTCCGCAATTATATCCATAGTATTAGATCCATGGGCAATAAGTCAGGCGACCTCGACGGCCAACGGCTGGGATCTTGGTTAGCTCTTCAATTATTCTTGAAATTGGCTGCAAAAATTTGTTGATAACTTCAACGTTCAGAGGCGGCGCGTCGTCTTGCCTGAAAAATATGTTTTCGAGTTCCATTAAGGGCATATCATCAATAAGGGGTCCAAAGCCTACTAGTTAAAAGTGGCGAACTTTCAAAAATTCTGTATTTCGAAGGGGAATATAACAAAATATCAAGTGTGCTATATTTTTGGAAAGGTAATTTTAAATTCTTTTCGGTTAATTAAAAATATAGAGGGTGTCCCAAATAAAAAATCAATTTTTCTGTTGATAACTCTTAAATTATCAATTTTAAAAAAAATATACTTAAACCATTAAATTCTACGTAAAAAGGTGCATTGGAAATGTTTTCATAGAAATACAAAATTTTCCATAGTAAAAAAGTTACAACGATTTGTTAAAAATGCACATTTTTGAAAAACACCCCGTAACTCCGAAACGGTAACAGATATTGATGTGCGGTTTTCACCATCATGTTTTTGATGAAAATTGAGCTCCAGACAGCGATATTAGTTTTCGTCTATCTCTTATAACAAACCAAACCAAACCAAACCACCCTGTACATTTTCTGTTTCCTCAATAGCCTGCAAATTTTGTGGAACACCACTCAAAATACACACTTTTATGCAAATGCTTAATAATGTTAACTCTTAAATTTATTTAAGAAGAGAAAAAAATTTGGACCTAATCAACAATTCGTATTTATCTTTTTATAGTGGTTTACAGTAATATTGTTGAGCTACCCCGAATGGGGTAGCTCTGGCAACACTGCCGTTACCACTTTTCCTGACGCTAGCTCGTGCGTCACGGCCCTGAATTTTTACTCCAAACGCGCGTAAAGAAGTTTCACTCAAAATAGATTTTAAAAATATTGTTTTTTTGCATTATACCTTTCACATATTAATTCTGATTTTCTTTTGTTGTTCCAGGCATTCCATATGGATATTAGGATTCAGTAATAATTCGCTTGAGCTAAACGTAAGGTGGTGTCCTTTGTTGTCCCGGGGCCAGTGCATGCGCATGTCCAGTCCACACATCATCATCAAGATCGAGGCGTGACCTTAAAATAAAAACAAAAAACAGTATTTCTTTACACGATATAGGATCAGTTATATATTTTTTTCTTTTGTTGTATATATAAATAGTTATTAGCCGTTAGGGGGCAGTACCGTAGCCATTTTTTTTGTTGTTGTTTTTATCCTGCATGTTTCTGGATAGAAAAAAAACTGTAATCAAACATATAACATGTACGTCTGTCTGTGATGCTAAAATGAATTTATTTACAAGAAAAAAAGTGTAGAAAATAAAGAACGAAAACACCGAGACTTGCTTCTGTGCATTTCCATCCTAAAGTTCTGGGTTCAGTGCCATTTTTGATTCAGTGGCATCAGATTTACTAGCATAACCTAGAAAGGATGTTTTTGAAATATTTTTCGTACTTTTTCTCTAATAAAAACATACTCAGATGCAAAAAAAACTCAACGGAAAATTATTTCGTTGATTTTTTTAAAGTGTTCTATTTCTTTACTTTAAGCCTTATTTTCATGATTTTTTTAGCAAACTGTATATAAATTTATCAACTTTAAATCATAAACTCAGTTTTTTATAAACTTTAGTATTTGGCTTATTATACAGGGTTAATTAAAGGGTTCTTTTTTTACCATAACTTTAAAACATCCTTTGCAATAATTTCGTGAGTAACTTTTTTAAACTAATAAAACAGCCCCGGAGCGAGATTTATAAAAAATTATTAATTTTAAAAATTTATAGTTTACATGAAATATACATATAAATTTTGTGAATGCAAATAATAATACATCACTATTAGTAGATATCGAATGTTTTTTGTTAAATTAGATCGATTTTTAAACCCCAAAATTTAAAATATATTTTACATTTTACCCATTATCTTATGTACCTATTCATTATGTGTATATTGTAAAACATTTGCTGCATTTATATGGTTCATAGTTTATTTGCCAAAGTATTTATTACTATAAATAGGTATATATATTTATTAACTGTATGTATATTTCATGTAAACTGTAACATTTTTAAAATACAAACCAAAAATACGAGGAATAATTATGTTTTCCATGTATTCTACAACATTTTTATTGATCCGTAGTATCTAACTAGCGTGACGTCATAAATCTCGCTCCGAGGCTGTTCTATTAGAGACTGCATTGGTTTGATATTTAGAAATGCCAAAAGCTGATGACATTTTACTTTTGACAATTATGACATTTTGTGTTGATTTTTGCAAGAAGACTGTGACTTGTTTTATTATTTTCCTTTTCTATTTCACGAAAGTAAAAAGAGTTACCTATCTGATTCGTTCAGGCACTCATTTTAAAGAATATCAGTAACTTTTGTGACAGAGGGATTTTATATTTGCCGTATTGGTAAAAAATAACGGTCAAAATTCAAAGTTATTCATTTTATAGACTATAATGTCATATCGTTTTAAAGATAAGTTAAAAAACAACTCTTCGATTAACCCTGTATAATAAGTTAAATACTAAAATTAATAGTGAACTGTGTGTACGAATTAAAGTTGATATATTTATATACAGGTTGCTAAAAAAATCGAGAAAATAGGGCTAGAAATATAAAAATATAACATTTTAAACTTAACCAAAAATTTTTCCGTTGCGTTTTTTTTTGCATCTGAGTAGTAAGTAATAAAAATATTTCAAAAACATCTAAAAGACTTAAAAATGGGCGAAAAATTCTAATCATCGTCAATTTGTAGAGATTGGAGATCGATCTGAGGTCGGACGTTTCTGTTTGCTGACACCCCCCGTCATCAGAAACGTTTCTGAACACCTCCGTTATTGTTTAAAGCTATACATATATATATTTATAACTTGTTATATTTTATGATCTTGATTTAGTTAACTATGAGTATACATAATATTAATATATAATATGAGAATAAGTGATTGAAATGTTTGTACAGCAAAAGGCCTAATGTAAGTAGACTTTAGGTTTGTATATTTTAGGTGAACTACTCAGAATTGATACTGTAATTCTATTCAGTATTCCTCTTTAGTTATAGTTATACAGTAATAGAGTATTTTAAATTGTTAATGATGTCTTTTATTTCTTACTTCCTTTTCCCCATAAAGATATAGATCATACTAAAAAAACTTTTAGTCACGTGATTATAAGCTTGACCGGCACAGCGTTGCCAACTTTAACATATTCTCTTTTAATCAAAATATTTTAGGAAACAAAAATAAATTCATTATAAATATACCGGGTGTTGCATCGTCGGACGGGACATAGGAAATCCCATGTAAATTTTAATGGGGTCAATTATTGGCTTCCCTAATTATTTTAGAGAATATATCTATTAAGGTTTATTTTTAAAACCCACATTCAAAAGAATAACTTTAGATATTTTTGATTAGCTCGTTTACGAGTTATCGCCGATTTCTTTTTAAATATTTCTTCTTTCTTATGGCGCTGTATTTACTTAAGAGCACCAGTCAAGGTAAAAGATAACTGTCAAATGAAGTTGTCATTTCAGAAATTTACCTATTTAGTGCTTTATTATTATTGAAAACTCATTCCTACATCGGAAATCTTAAAGATGTATTTATAAATGCAAATTAATATGAATTAAAGTAAAATAAAGTAATCAATTACAAGGTTAATTATAGTATTATTACAATATTCAATAACTTATTAATTTAGGTACTATTAAATTGTTAGAACTTTAGGATTTAAGATGTTCAAATATTCCTCCATCGACTGTTAGACAATAACCCAGGCGATCATAAAATTCTTTTTTTACATTCGCTAGTTGGTAAAGTGAAATTCTATTGCATTCGGCAGAAATAGCATTTTTTAACTCGTCTAGATTTGGGTATTTTTTATCCTTGTATATCCTGTTTTTTAAATGGCTCCAGAGAAAGGAATCCATTTGGCGAAATATGAGAAGACCTTGCTGGCCAATTTACTGTATGATTTAGGCCAATAACGTCTCCGTTAAAACTATTGTCTAAATATTCCCGAACTGCCAAGGTACTATGTGCCGGGCAGCCATCTATTTGGTACCAAACTTCCTGATTTTGCCTAGCGCCATCATGTAAAGCAGATAAAATATGATTTTCGAGTAGTTCCAAATAATATTCTGCATTTAAATTTCGCGTAAGAAATACCCGATAATATTGTGTCCGAATGTCCCTGCCCAAACATTTACTTTCTGTGGATATTGCGTCCTTGTTTCGACAAACCTGTGTTGGTTTTCTTTGTTCCAATATCGATAATTTTGAACATTGGGTTCATTATTTAAGGTAAACGTGCATTCGTCAGTGAAACATATGTTTTTTAAAAATTCCCTATCCGTGTTTGCTCTTTCCATCATATCAAAACAAAACGCCTGCCGCCGTATTTCGTTCCCATCTCGTAGCTCTTGGTGCTTTTCATATTTGAAGGAATAGTATTGATGTCGTTTCAAAATTCGAAACGCTGTAGTGTGATCCATTCCTATTTCATCCTCAAGTTTCCTTGTGCTGATCTTTCCATCGTTCTCTTCCACGCACAATAAAACTTCCAAGTCGGTATCATTTCTTGCATCTTCTCTTTGTTCCTACCTTGCTTCACATCTGCAGTTATTTATTCGGGTACCTTTGGTCTCAAATCTCTGGATATTCCTTGCGATTGTAGATTTTCCAGGTATCGGTCTATTCAGATACAGAGCAGCAAACATGTCCGACACCTTTTGATAACTATTTCCTTGATAATACCATTTAATCATCAATACTTTTTCTTCGGTAGTGTAATTCATGGCTAATATTTTCGATGTAGGTATGAGTTTTTAATAATAATAATAAAGCACTAAATAGATAAATTTCTGAAATGACAACTTCATTTGACAGTTACCTTTTACCTTGACTGGTGCTCATAAGTAAATACAGGGCCATAAGAAGGGAAGCCAATAATTGACCCGATTAAAATTTGCATGGGATTTCCTATATCCCGCTCGACGATGAAACGCCCGGTATATCTTGGGTATCTTTATTTTGTACGGTAATGGTAGTGGTTGTCTATGAATATTATTTCTCTGAGATAAGATGGCGTACAAATTATATTTGTCAAAGTCTTTGGTCAAAGTTCATTAGTTTTCAAATAAACATTTGTCAAAAATGTCATCTAACGAAACTGCGAAAAAAATACTCAAAGAAGTAAGGCCCATACTTTCTTTACATCGCTACGAAGCCAGACGAAGAGTCATAAGTTTGTATAAAGCCTGGTACAGACAGATACCATATATTAGTACGTATGATTATATTTTATACATAATATAAACACAAAGCATATTATAAGAAAGAGTGTACTATATAGTACGAGAGAAAATAACGTCGGAAAACAAGTATTTTAAGACGTGACTCTTTGATATATCTTTTACTATGCTCTCTAGAACAGCATGCGGCCCGTCTGGCTGCCGGTAAACGTTGTGTTCCCTACTGAGCATTGAAAGAAGATCCTATATTTTTATTAGTCCTTTAAATTCTAGGATTGAATATAAATCGAACATGTTTCCATAGCGCAGTGCGTAGAGTTTCCGACCACGAACCGATGATTCAGAGTTCGAATCCGGGTCAGGGCAAAGACTTTTTTATTTTATTTTCGTTTATATTCTAATAGTAAAGTATTAAATATTTGTTTTTTTAAGTTACCAGAATTATTTAATACTTTACTATCAGAATATAATCGAAAATAAAATAAAAAAGTGTTTGCCCTGACCCGGGATTCGAACTCTAAATCCTCGGTCCGACACCTTTTGATAACTTATTTAGTTTTTTTATTACTTTTTTTTAATTTATTATTTTTATTTATTTAACTTTTTAGTCGGAAACTCTACGCACTGCGCTATGGAAACATGTTCGATTTATATTTAATAGTAGAATTTATAGACTAAATTAAAAACAAATATAGGATCTTCTTTCGATGCGCAGTAGTAGTGAACGCACCGGGTATCGGCAGCCAGACGGGCCGCATGCTGTTCCAGAGAGCATAGTAAAAGATATATCAAAGAGCCAGACGTCTTAAAATGCTTTCTCGAAAACTTGCTGGCTCTTAGACTATAAACACAAAGTATATTATAAGAAAGAGCATACTATACCTATACAAAAATATTCTACATACTCGTTTATAAGAATTCAAGTCTCAAATTCTTTCTGTAGTACCTAAGGAACTCTATTTTTAAAAAATAAAAATTAGGTAAAAATTGTACCTGTTTAAAAATTTTCTCTGCCGCGCACTATATTATTTTTTGTTAAATTTTAGTTCAGCATTTTGATGTAGAAATGACTGAGAAAATGTGTAAGGCAAAATTAAGAGAAGAGTTTACTAAATATGGCCATATTAATGATATAAGGATTATTGATATGCTGGTCATAAAGGTATAGTATAAGTTTGATATGTCCGTTTTTAGCCTAGATCATACCGGGTGTTGCATCGTCGAGCGGTACATAGGAAATCCCATGTAAATTTTAATGTGGTCAATTATTGGCTTCCCTAATTATTTTAGAGAATAATTCTATTTACCACCACCATTATTTTTTTTTTGAAGAGCACTAAAACACACATTCAAAAGAATAACTTTACTTCGTTCTTTTTAAATATCTCTCCTTTCTTATGGCCCTGTATTTACTTATGAGCACCATTCAAGGTAAAAGATAACTATCAAACGAAGTTGTCATTTCAGAAATTTGCCTATTTAGTGCTTTATTATTTTGGCTTCCACCTTGTTTTCTTTTGTCGTTGCCTGTGTTGCTCCTTGTTTCAAGGTAAGTTAAAGTGTATTATATATATATATAGACTATTTCACCTAGCACAGTCACAACCTCGAATGATTGAGAATCGGCTGATTCAATTTTTTCAAAACAGGCAAGAATTAGATATTTGAATACTTAGTTTTCTTTTTGTATTTTTTAGTTAGAAGCAGTTCGAGAATAAAAAAATAAAATATCTATCAACATCCAATAAAAGACAGAGTGCGCTAAGGGTGTATTTGCCGGACCGAAGCCAGACTCACGGGTGTATCAAGACATAAGGGATGACTCTGTACCTGAGTTTTTATATTAATAAATATTTTAAGCTGACTTCCATTGAATTATTTCTAATTAAATTCCTAGGTCGTATACGTCGTTGAAAAATGTACGTCCATAGACGTACATTGTAGGTCCATAGTACGTACATTGTACGTACTTTCGATCATTTTACGTCCAGTTTTGGTCCGGAACAAAACATAAAATGTACGTACCTGGAATGTACGTACATGCGACGTACATAGTACGTACTTTACCACATCCCAGGGACGTACGGGGACGTACATAGCGTTGGAAAATGTACGTCCCTAGTACGTACATAGTACGTACATGTACGTACTTGTGTAAGAACTCTATTTTTCTATGCTACGTTTTCTTTATCTGACGTAATAAAAAACAGACATTGCAAAAGCCGGAGCGCAATGGAATTTCGAATGTAAACAAAAACAAGCCCAAAATTCATGCTACCTGCACTTTTCAAAAAGGTTTCAGATAACATTCAATACAGTATCGCCGTCTAAAACAGTATTAGACAGCGTCAGAGAAAGAAGTGGTACGCGCTTATTAAATTAAAACTATTAAAGTTTCTGAGGTTTAATTAAGGTTTTGTGGTAGTTCTGAGTTCCATTGCCGTGCCGAATAAGAAGTTTAATTAAGGTGAGTTTATTTTATCTCACTGAGCAACTAGTTGGTTACTGTTTATTGTTTTTATTGAGATATATTATATTTCTGAATCTCAGATAAATTTTAAGATATTTGATTGAATATAAAGAAAAGATAATTTGCAGATGATAATATTGAAGTATTTCTTTATAGTGAGTTATTTATAATTTGGCTATGTGACTTTAACAGAAGATAAGAATATATTTGTGTATTAATATTATCAAATTAATCTTGATTGAATATTAAGAAAATATGATTTTCAGATGATAATATTGAAGTATTTCTTTACAGTGATTTATTTATATTCTGTCTAAGTGACTTTAATAGAAGATAAGAATATATTTCTGTATTTGTATTATCAAATTGAGCTTGAATGAATTATGTTTAGCTTTATTATTTTCTACAGTTAGCCTTTGGGGCGTAGTGACCCTGTGTAGCGTAGTTAGACTTGAAGAGTAGTTCGTCCTGTAGCGTATTAGCCTTGACAAGTAGTTAGTCCCGTAGCGTAATTAGACTTGAAGAGTAGTTAGCCCCGTAGTGTAGTTTGACTATTAACTTGTGTATTTTTTAGCCTGTGTGGCATTTTTTTAGCCTGTGTGGCACTTTGATAGCCTGTGTGGCATTTTTTTAGCCTGTGTGGCACTTTGATAGCCTGTGTGGCATTTTTTTAGCCTGTGTGGCATTTGATAGCTTGTGTGGCATGTTTTTTTTAATAGTCTGTGTGTCTAGCCTGTGTGGCATTTTATTATTTTATTTAAACTTGTATTTTTAAGTTGGATTATTGATAAATCATTCAAGTACCTGTTTAATTTTAAATTCACTTTATTTTAATAATAACTGGTAACATTGTTGCTCACACCATGTTTTTTTCTTTAATTGTAGGTAGGTCATCTCGGTAGCCATACAAGACTTTTGTTGCTATACAACATTTGTCCATTTGCAGCGCCCAGATCAAAGTTGGCTATTACCATTAGTAACGTACCATCTATTAGTATTATTTTTATTTTATATTATTAGTTGTATTTTATTATACAACATTTACGCCCTTTAAATTTGTTTTATGGTTTTTATTTTTAATTTGAGTTGACCGCTTGAAAAAAAAAATGTTTGGCCCGTACACTTGTACGTACCAGGGACCTGACGTTCGTCCCAACATTACGTAACAGGTACGTACATAGTACGTACCGTGGCTGTATTGGTAACACCTACTATCTCTGCTACGTCTATCTGGAGCATTCCTTGTTCGGCGAGAGCCGTATTAGAAATATTCTTTTCTTCCCCTCTGAACATCTGTTAACCCAACAAATGGCATTTTTTTATTTTTTTTTTTGGATGGAATGAAAATTACCGGGCAATCGTGATTTTACTACTGAACACAAAATTAACAAGAAAATAAATCGCAGCAGTCGTTTATTCTTTATTATCATGTTTATTTAAAACAAAAAGCTTTATCGTAAAATTGTATACCAATTTTTATCCTTGCAAGTAATTTAGTCAGAAATAAAGAGTGATTCCATATAAATTGGTTATGGCTCACAATTCTTCCACTATAAAAAGTTGTGAGACCCCATGTTAAACCAAGTCTAAAACAAAGTATTTTATTTAGTCCCTCTTTAAGCACCTATTCAACAATTTTCTTATAAATTGTTAGTATCAATATTAGTCATTTATATTTCTGTAATAATTATAATGACTTGGCAATTGCACAGCGCCCATAATTACTATCCATAAATACTGATAATCCAAAGATAAATCAAGATAATTTTTTATTAAATTTTAGGGACAAATGAACTTAAAAGAAGCCTCAGAGAAATGGGTTACCAGAAGAGGAATAGCCAAATATTTTGACGACCCGACACAATCCAAACCGTCAAGTTTCCTTGGAAAGTTTCTAGAAGGACATAACTAACTTATTTTATTATTAATATGGAATAAATATTACTTTTATTTTTGACTCTTAATTGCTTTCAACTACATCTTACAACAAAATGCTTTTTAAAGCAGCACATGTCTTACTCTTTGTCTATCTTCCAACACTGCTATCTAAGAAGAGTTGCATGTCAATGACCCCAAGGAATAATAATTGAACTTACCTTGGTCATTTTACAAATACATTCTCAAAGAAGCTATTTAGTTTCGTCCTTTGGTGACATCAAAAATCAGTTAAGGCTTTCTGGGGCCATCATCAAAAGTTATTTTATTAAATATGGGGAATAAATATATATAAAGAAATACCTAATACTTCTTCCCTTTATGAACCCTTTTCTACTTGATAGTTATATTTTACTAAAAGCAACATTTTAAACGCATACTTTTATTGATGTGAAAAAATACCAGGACAAAAAATCAAAATACAAATACAAACAAGTTACAATAGAGACCTACTGACACCTTTTCTTTTTCTCTAGAGCACAATACTCTGGACAATGTTGAATGGATCTCTTCAAACCTTCTTTAGAGGTTGAATGATCTGGCCTTGCTTTCGGAAAACTACTCTTAAGCTCAGCATTTTTATCCAAAATATTGATGTATATATTTATATTACATATATGTTATTCATTTTTTCGTTAATATGTTAATATAAGAATACTTATTATACAACAAAAATTAGCCAAATAAGAACTTTATTAATTCTTACTTCCAGGTAAACTCTCAGGTAGAACTTACCTGAATGACACTTCTCCAACATGATAGTAGGCCAGCTTCATAACAATTATTTGACATTTCGTTAAATCCCTTCAAAATTCTTGCGAATATTTTTTAAAATTTCACCTCTATTCCAAATTCCCGATACAAAATGACACCCCGAACACCGAGCGATGAAAAAATGAAGGCTGACAAGACCAGACTGGTTCATTTCAAGCACGCACCTGATCGCGTAGCTCCCCCGCCAGCCAGAAGGGAAATCTACCCCCACGGTCCGGTAAACAAACCGCCAGAAAACTACGAAAATCTCCTGCTTTTCTACCTCACCAAGCTGAAGAACTTGTTCTCGTCGCAAATTTCCGCCAAGTCTCGGGAAGGCAGCGTGGTCAACTCCAGACCACCCGTCCACGACCACAACTTGCGTAGTTTTCCACGACCTAGCTCAGCTGGTTATTCCAGACCGCCTGACGAAAATGACGTCCAAGCCAACGTGTACAAGGTAGTATCAGCGGCTATAGAGTACGGATTTGCCAACAATGTCTTGGAGAAGAAAGGCGATTGCTTCGTGCTGAAGAACCAAAGACCTCGATTGATCACTCGACAACCAACTCCATGTCCAAGATACTGCGAAAGATGCTGTAATATGCACAAATACATTAAGGGAAATCAACAAGATTGTGCTGCCAGATCTGCGTTCTTGGGCAGACAAGAAGGAAGAAACCCTCTTTGTGAGAAACAGCTTCGGACAATCCATGACAGGCGAATCGATAGGAACCGTTTTATGAAAGGAAGCCCAGGCCAAAAAGAAGGTTTAAAGAGACCCATTCAACACTGTCCAGAGTGTCGTGCTCTAGAGAAAAAGAAAAGGTGTCAGTAGCTCTCTATTGTGACTTGTTTGTGTTTGTATTTTGATTTCTTGTCCTGGTATTTTTTCACATCAATAAAAGTATGCGTTTAAAATCTTGGTTTTATTAAAATATAACTAGCACATATAAAAGAGATTATCGAGCTTTAAAATTGTTCTGATCATGAGTTTCTACTGAATCTAGAATATTCAGAGTGGTGAGCTCCAGAGTATACTTGCATGACCACAACTTGCGTGGCTTATTTTACAAGACTTCAATCAGCTGGTTTCTCCAGACCACCTGACGAAAATGAGTTTCAAGCCAACGTATACATGGCAGTATCAGCAACTATACAATAAGTATTTGCCAACAACGTCTTGGAGAAGAAAGATGATTACATTGTGCTGAAGAACCAAAGACCCCTATTGATCACTCGACAACCAACTCCATATCCAAGATACTGCGAAAGATGCTGTAATATGCGCAAATACATTAAGGGACATCAACAAGAATGTGCTCCCAGATCTGCGTTCTTGGGCAGACAAGAAGTAAGAAACCCTCTTTGTGAGAAACAGCTTCGGACAATCCATGACAGGCGAATCGATAGAAACAGTTTCATGAAAGGAAGCCCAGGCCAAAAAAAAGTTTGAAGAGACCCATTCAACACTGTCCAGAATGCCGTGCTCTAGAGAAAAAGAAAAGGTGTCAGTAGCTCTCTATTGCGAATTGTTTGTGTTTGTATTTTGATTTCTTGTCTTGGTATTTTTTCACATCAATAAAGTATGCGTTTAAAATCTTTCAGTAGGTGTCTTCGTAGTAGCTTTTTATTGTTTGTATTTGTATTTTGATTTCTTGTTCTGTTTCTTATCGTACTTTTAGGGTTTAAAATGTTGATTTTAATAAAATACATCTTTAGATTTAACCAGACACAGTTTTATTGGTACAAGTTTAAGTCTAGGTCTTGGAAACAATTTATTTCAATAAAATTCTCGATAACCGCATGATAAAAAACACTGTCACTTTTAGTCATATTGTATTAAATTTATCCTTAAAACACAAGGGATATCTTTTCGTAACCACTTGATGAATAACTTCTGTTTGCGGTTTTCTTTCAATTTTACATGTTCAATAACACTGCTAATCAAGTTTAGATTATTTCAAAGAACTTATTGTTAATAAATTTAGTAAATCCCCTTATATCAATTTTAAATCATAACTACATTCTATTAATTTATAATAAATATAGTCTGTCCAACGAGAAGATCCTTGACAGTGATAGATGTGTCTGTCATTTTAATTTCAAAGTAGTTTATTTTATTTTACAAAGAAATAAGTTGGTACAACTGGAACGCAGAGCAGGAAATATTTAAAATTTGATTGACAAGATGACAAGTGATTACTTCAAAATATTGTGAAAAAAACTGTATAAAACTGAAAAAATGTAATCGAGTTATTTTATTTAATAAAACGGTATGTGTTAATACAAAACAAACAAGAACAAGACACTACATACCAAAAAATATATAAAATGAACTATTATTTACTTTCAAGCTTTATGAAACTACCCGCATTTATGATTATATTTATCAATATAACTTATGTACAAATACAAATTTGTAATAATCCACAGGAATAAATAAAACAACATAGGTAAATAAAACAAACTATTTTATTAATAATAACACCTACCAAATTTTATACCTTAAAGGTTGATTAATTAACTTTAATCTTAATTTTTTTAAACCAGTACCTTTTGACATTATTTTTCTGCAGTACTAAAATCCATTATTTACCTATCGTGTGATATCGATATTTTACAGCTACTCCAGTTTTTAGTATGTGTTTAGTTTGATCCTTCTACCATATACAAGATGCACTTATCTACGACGAAATGGTATACAAACTTTATCGATAGCAACTTCATTGGTGTATAAGACTTTCTGCCCTGGCAGCGAGTATTAACCATAAACTGTGCTCTGGGTCTACAGTTAATTTTCACTCGATTTTTCCTCCACTTGACTTCAAAAGACACAAAACACACGTAATAATACGAATCAAAATGCATCATATTCCAAAACGCAGGGTATTTAACAAAAGTTGACACAAAATTATAACCTAGAATTTGGCAAGACTTTGACAAGCGTCAAAAATGACAAAAATCTAAAGGCGAGTTCATACGCATCGGCGTCCGTTTGTCGTTCATCGTTCCGTCAAACCAATAAAATTGAAATACGATCTGTCATTTTTTAAATAAACCAATAAAACTGGTTAAAAACAACAAGACACGACGCATGACGGATTTATATTTAAACCCATCCATAGATAACTTAAAAATTATTAGAAACTTTTTTTAGTAAAATAAATAGATTGGTATGGGACGTCATCTGCTTTTCTTCTGTCATCGTCTGTCGAAATCTTACCTGAGAAAAAAAAACAGAGTATAGCGGTAAATACAGGCAAAATACGCAATTTTAAATACCTCTAAACCATTTTGTAAAATTACAGTATTTTATGACACTATGCAAAAATACTAAATTTTTGAAAGTCGCTTAAAGATGCTGTTATGTAATTAGTGTGTCCCAATATTGGGACACAATATATGTCAAAATATTGGAACACAAAATGAAGAGAATTAAATTCCTCTAGATTTTCATCTCTAAGTAACAAACTTCTAAAACCTTTATTATATTTTCGTTCAACTAATATAATTCATACACCTACCTTTTGTTGCATGCGTCTCTTGTTAAAAAAGAAGAAATAAATTATTATTTCAATAATATTATTATATCAATATTAATATATATATTATTTTTCACCATACCCTCTCTCGTGTAAAATGAACCACAATCTGAACACCTTGAATCCGGCAATTTGAATTACTCTGCATGTACCCGGCGCCCTCAACATAGCTGGTCCACCCCGCCTTTTTGCCCACGGCACGCTACTGGTAAACACAGCCAGCAAATAAAAAAACTAAAGTAGCGTTTCTGTAGAGCGTGCATTAGAAGTTTCTACAGAACTACAATAACTACAATATCAAGATCGGTTTCACAACGAGATCTATCGATTATAAATAGTTTCAATATGGCGGCACTTCCGGAAATACCGGAGTTTGACAGCAACTTCCTTATTTTAAATGGGTACCCCCATTTTTTACTACACACTTAAATTCTCTGTAAAATTTTATGAATTCTGATATCAAATACTCTATACCTTACATTAACCGTTTTTGAGGAAAAAAAATTGCCTATTAAAAAAATCGGTATAGCCTAAACGACAAATTTAATGATTATCACAGCCACTGTGGCATAAAGAGAAGACATGTGGCTATCTATTTCAACAATTAAATTGTTCGAATGTCATATAATAATGGCGGTAGCTGTCATGGAATTGAGTGATTAAAAAATCATCAGGTCTAAAACTCAAAACTAGAGCAACGGACGGCAAGGCTAAACCTATGCAAACTCCAGAGACTAGCATGCGTTTGCATCACAGGAGCCATGAGAACCTGTCCAACAGCAGCAATGGAGGTCATTCTAGATCTAACACCACTGCACATTGTCATTGGTAGATATGCCAATGCGACAATGATTAGAATGGTCACTAACGGAATTAGTACTGGGAGAATTGTCAGATCAGGGGCTTGGAACACCCTCATAAAGGAAATACCACTCCTGCAACTCCCAGTGGACGATATGCCAAGAACGTACAACTTTGAGAAACATCTCAATGTAGTATTGAGCAATAAAAAGGATTGGAAGAGCGAAACGCTTGCCCAGCAGTTAAAAGACCATACCATAACTTGGTATACTGATGCTTCCAAAACCAATACGGGAATAGGGATCGGAGTGTTTGGGCCGAAAGCTAAATACTCCGAACCAATGGGCACTTACCCTAGTATCCTACAGGCAGAAATCTACGCTATCGAAAGATGCGTACAACTTATCTTCGATAGGAACTATCGGAAACAAGAAATAGCCATCTTGTCTGATAGTCAAGCAGCGTTAAAAACGATCAACTCAGTATCAATCAATTCGAAATTGGTCAAAGAATGCATAGAGAAGCTGAATAAATTGGGCAAAGAAAACAAAGTCCTCCTACTCTGGGTGCCTGCTCACCAAGGGATAGAAGGCAATGAAAATCCAAATAATCTAGCTAGGAAAGGAGCGAACACTCCACTAACTGGACCAGAACCGTTCTGCTTTCCAAGTGGTAACCAACTCAAGGCGGAACTCAAGAACTTGGAAGATTCCACCCGCAACCTGGAATGGAAATCTTGCAACGGTCTAAGACACTCGAAGAAGTTTCTGAGGGCTTATGATCAAGAAAAGTCACAGATCTTCCTGGGTTTAAGTAAGAACAATCTTCGGATTGTCACGGGGTTTTTGGGTTTTTAACAGGACACTGTCTCCTCAATGAACACCTCAGTAGATTGAAACTAAGAAGAAACGGCGAATGCAGATTCTGTGGGGAAGATGGGGAAACACCAGTACACCTCATCACTGAGTGCGCCGAGACGACAACCATTCGTGCCATGAATTTTGGTACGACTGATATTGGAGATGGAGAACTACCCTCTATAAAACCGTCCCAGATACTGGCTTTTGTCAAAGCCCTGGGACTGTATGATGAGTTATGACTCAAGAAAGGGGGACACAATGGATCTGTAAGGTCGCAGTGATTAACCCCCCTCCCACTCATTCTAAATTCTAAAAAAAAATCATCAGGTCAGACAATTTATTTCCATCTGTCAGAAAACGAATTATTTGAATTTCCTATACTATAAATACTGCCTGCTTAAGAATTTAAAAAATGTATGTATAAAAATATATCTCGTATTTTCGCTCTTTAGTGATATCTAATAGTTGATCTAATTAATAATTCCGTATGATCGAAAAAAAAACAACGCAAAGTTGGCTCGAAAATGATGCTGCTTTTTGAACAAAGCGTCACAATATGACATGGCCAAATCTATTGTTTTACATCACTTAACGTTTAAAGTCACAGGCTACTAGTTAAAATTAAAAAAAAATATACGCTTTAAAACTAAATCTTAAATAACTCGAAAACGATATATTTTAGGTATAGGAACATGTATAGTTAAAAAGTAACGAATTGAAAAGCCTTTTCACTAGTGAAATAAAAAAAGTGGGTTTCCATTTGAAAAAAATGATTTATGATAATTTTTTAATCGCTCAATTCTATGACAGCTGCGGCCATGATTATATGACATTCGAACAATTTAATTTTTGAAATAGATAGCCACATTTTTCCCCTTACGGCACAGTGGCTGTGGTAATCACTAAATTTGACATTTCGGCTATACACATATTTTTGACAGGCAGTTTTTTTTGTTCAAAAATTTTAAATATTTTTTTTCTCAAAAACGGTTAATGTTAGATATAGAGTATTTAATATCAGAATTCATAAAATTTTACAGAGAATTTAAGTACATAATAAAAAATAGGGGCACCCATTTAAAATAAGAAAGTTGCTGTCAACTTCCGGTATTTCCGGAAGTGCCGCCATATTGAAAATATTTTTAATCGATAGATCTCGTTGTGAAACTATGATGTGCAAAAAATCTCCGAGCTAGAGGTTGCCGCTCACTCGTCGGGCATGCATGAAATGCATTGCGTGCATGAATCCATGAAAATCTGGTCATGTTTGTTAGTTTAAATACTAACCAAATGAGATTTGGCAACATCTATTTGTCACAAATCTCAATATGTCAAAAATAGTTCTATAGTGCCTGGAATTTCTGCGTAATGATAGATATTTATCCTATACCGTTTTATTTTACAACAAAGACTTATTTGAGGGATTCATTTATAATAAAATGGTTGCAATATAATTCGCCATGTTTAAGGCAGAATTTTTGTATGGCCTATGGCCGCCATTATATGAAGCAAAATTAAAAACATCAAAATAAATTGTAAAATGTTATTTTTGAAAACTATTTTGTGATAAGATTCCCACATACACTAATAAACTGTTTAATTAAATTAAAAACAAGAATTTTTAAAATTTTATTTTATTTTATTGTTTAAATTTATTCGTAAACCTTAATCGAAATTAAAACGCTTTAATTTTTTGCCAAATACATACCTATAATCTACCAGTAAAATTTTCGGCGTAACAAAAATTGTCCCTACTTTTCAAACCCAATGATTTTTTATATTACATATTTGTTGTTCCTTCTGGCTCTACCCGCCATTTTCACCGTCGAGTAAAGTCTCCTTTTTAACAATCCACATTCTCCAGATTCATTTTACGACACGCTTAAAATATAATTTGCTCCTGATATTCTTCGGTAAAAAATAAAATACTCTTTTACCTCGCTAAATGATCAAATGTTTTTATTGTTCTGTTTCTTAGATGTGACCACGTAATACACAATAAAACTAGTTTTATAATAGTTATATAACGCTGTGTAAAATAGTTGCATAACAGTTGTATACGCTTTTTATAAAACTTCTATACTACTAAACGGTTGTATAAAAATGGGCCTTTTTTGGTTGTAAAGCTATCATATTACGGTCTTATAGCACGTTATACGAATTGAGGTATCCTATAAAAATGACCACATAGCTGTTTATACAGCCTTTATAAAATAAAATTTGCTACTTGGGCACGATTCTGCATAAACTGCTTGACGTAAAAAGCTTATTTTTGGCAAACGGATTTTTCGAAAGTCAAATTCCAACGAGATGAAACTACCCCTCAAATATTACCAAGTTATATCACCATATTGCTTTTTCTCATGCTGACATAAATGTGAGAAAACTTTATCCAGTTTATATGTTAATGGAAATTCTTGCTTGGCTTTATCATCACCATTACAAATGATTAATTCGACGCGAACGAAGTCGCTAGTACAGGCTAGTATAATATATATTTCCTTCGGACATACACCCGCTTTAACCGACTCTTCAAAGTGACCCGAACAGTACAGCGTAATAGACTTTTAAGACTCTCCCTGTAAAATTAAAAGAAAAGAAAATAAATAGACTTGTATATTAGTGTGTTTTGAATGAACGAATAACGGATAAATTCAATTTTAGGTCGTGGATTCTTTATCGAGGGAAGTCACACGCAAGGCTACAACAAATACTCTTTCGGCATCGCATTCATTGACTGCTTCCTGAACAACTTACCCCCACCCCAGTCGCTCAAAAAATGCAAAGATCTCATAGCTCACGGAGTGAAAATCGGAGCTATACGACCGGACTATGACCTCCTGGCCCACTCACAGTGCAGACCTTTTCTGAGTCCTGGTGAAAAACTAACGGAAGAAATTAAAACGTGGAAGAATTTCAATTCAGAAGTTAGTGTGCAGAAACCGGGGATTTCTTTCGAAGACGACTAGCTTCAAAACAAGACTAAGACTGAACCAGATCGGAATGGACCTAGGTCGACTCAGCCTTAAATGAGTACTTGGGATTCACAATCGTGAGGTAATAATAGGCGGTTGAAGCGTAGTGCTAACCACGTTACCTTCCTTGTATACCGAACGGCTCTAGTATGCCAAGCTGTACCTTGCTACTCCCAAGGCGTTGAACGCTATATACGGGAGCTATTATTATATACCTATGTTTTGTTAAGCACCTTAACATTTGACTTTCACAAAAATCAGGAAAAAGTACGGGAAGGGTGAAAAGTGCCGACCCCCACCCCCAAGAACAGTTAACCTAATAGGACTGCTCATTCAGCCGAAAGTGTCTGCCAGGTGCATGCAAAAACTCTTCGCTTTGTGACGTCATTGTAGTCCTTGTCATGACAGTGTGTGTATTATTGGTTGCCGTATGCAAAACATTCCTTGTTTAGTTTATTTATTTAAACACCTTATATGTATGCAGGATAGAAAATTAATAACTGTATAAATCGTATTAAAAAATATTCGCATAATGCATTTTTAAGAACAACAGTTCCCAGTATAACCTTTTGCAGGCATTCTTTTTAGAGCACTTACATATTTTGCTTTAAAATAATTAATAAACAATATCGTAGGCACTTAGTAAGCACTTAGTCACAATCCACAACACAAAATGAACGTATTTATAAACTCTATAGCTCTAAAAACTTTAAAAACACCTTTTTCGCATTTAAAATCGACAAAATAATTAACTCAAAATTTCTCAGCTGTTATTTTTATTCGTTTACCATAGGCAACCAATAATACACACTATCATGACAAGGACTACAATGACGTCACAACTGTCAGCTGAAGCGCGGGAAGAGACGAACGTACGTCTTATGAGGATGAGCAATCGTATTAGTTTACCGTTCTTGGAGCAAACGAAGTGAAACTTTTTTATAGAGTTAAATTGGGTCCAATGAACTTATTGCGATTCCAAAATTACGTAGTAGTTACGGAATATCGGGATTGGGACACCCATTGTATATGAAAATTCAAAAAATGTCTTCTTGCCGTATAAATTAAATATAACAATTGATGAAATTAATCATTTGGTGCAGGCGCCGAATTTGATTTTCACATTTATTAGAATTGTATGAATTTTCTATTGGACCAGCAAAAAACACTAAATCTATTACAGGGTGGTCCGTTTTTTAATAGCAGAACTTTAACAATCGTTACGCTTACTTTAAAAAGAAATGTTCATATCAAGTTAGGATCAAAAATAGTTTATTTTACCACCCTGTATTTGATTTCTATCAGAAAATGTATGTTTTTTAGAATTTGCATGAACTGGGGTTCAGAACTGTATTTATCAATAAATAAAACAACTGTCAAGCAGAGCATTGTATTATATTTTCCAGAGCCAATGGTTTTTAGGAAAACCGCTTTTCTAGGAGCCGATTATACTTCTCTAATTGACTGGACATATAATTATATATAAATCTATATAATATTTCTATTTTTTTGATACGTATGTATGTATAATATAGCGTGAGAAATCTTGCTGATATATCTATTTCAATATTTGTTTTTTTTATAATTACTTTTTCAATATTTTATAAAATAACTTTGGTACCTTTTTAAGAGATAAATATTTTCTTTTAAATATAAGAAGAATTATTATATTCTGTGAGCTATATTCATTTAAAAAAATGACAAAAAATAATTATATTACAACTAGTTTATAGTTCTAGCTATATAAAAATGCTCTATATTTAGGGTATATTGACTATAGTTTTGAGCCTATGGCTAGAATATTAGGCTTATGCTAGCTTGACATGACTGTTACAATATCAATTATTATTATTAACTATTAAGTGAACTTAGACTCTAATTATAGTAACTTTATGATCTGAAAGTACTAATCACATTTTTTATATTATTGTAATTTGTATTAGGTATATAATTAAAGATATTAAAAAATGCATATTTTTTATTCCTATAATGGCACTAGTTTTCGAATTTCAATATTTTTTTTTGATATTATATTTGTATTCCAGAGGCGTAGTTTCAAGGGTGTAAGACAGTGCTGATCCTCTCCTTATTATATTGAATTACTTTTGGGTAGTCAAACATTATAATAAAAAGTATTCAGAGGATTTTTCTAATATAATGCACAATAAATAAATAATTTACAGCATATTAGCGTGTAAAATATATCCTTTACAGAATGGACAGAACGCAACTAACAATAAAATCAAGGTGTATTGTTAGTTGTATAAACAACGTTTATATTTTTTTCATAAAATGTCTGTTGGCTACACTGATTCATATTTAGTAAAAATATGAATTTTACCATTTACCAAACTGATTTGATTTTTGACGTCTGTCATTGTCGCTCCTTGTTCAACTCACGGCACCAGAAAAATGTTAGTCGTTCTCTTTTTAAAAATGGTGTTTGAATGTTTCTCGGAAGCTTTGTTTAAGTTTCATTAATTTTGAGTGGCGTTGCGATGTTGGGAGAGTAAATTATCGAGTGAACTTGCACGTAAACGAGACAGTTTCATCAATTTCCAATCCAGAAACATGACTTCCGAACCGCTACCGAACAATATCGAAACCGAATACTTGGAACTGAACTCCGCCGATGACTGGCCGGCATTTTATCAGGTATACGTGCTTTCATTTAGCTTAATATTTTCCCAGAACACCGAATAATTGTTCTTTTGCATCCGCCAAACCCGTTTCCATACGGCTTAATTGTTCGATTCAAGAAAAATGTCCGACTTGACAATATAAACGGCAAAAACAAGGTATGATTCAGAAGCCTTGTAATTGAAAAAATCTTGGTGAAAAATGTCTCTATTGCATATTTTAACCAGTCCTCGATTCCTATCAAGTCTGTGCTAGATAACGATTCACGTTTCAAGTAGTTTAATTAAAAACTATTTGAAATATTTTATGAATCAGGATTTATTGCTTAAGTCGGACATTCACAATTAATTAAATCGGAATTAAATCATTTTTAATTGGAATTAAACGTTACCACCTTTTTTAACTGTACACTATTGTTATTAAAGGAATTACACAGTTGTAGAATTTGGTTTTTCCCACGTTATAAATAAATCCTCTCACCATTCATGAAATCCACGAACAGATTTATATTGTATTAATTATTTCTTAGAAAATTCGAGCCAAGAGCTTAAAATTAGGGGGACAGTGTACGGAAGCGTTGAAACCACAAAATAAAATCCTAAATAGATATAGAGATGTACATCCCTATGACCATAGTCGGATCAAACTTCAAAGAGGATCGACAGATTATATTAATGCCAATTTATGTAAGGTTGAGAAAGCTAATAGGTAAGAAACACACACATAAATATTCTTGTTGGTTAACTAAAAATGTTCTTAAGTTATGTCTACACATACCTAATACCTATAATTACTCACAAAGATTCAACAACAACACAATATTATACAAAATAATGACCGACAATAGGATAATAATTGTCAAATAATAAACGACAACCTTGCTGAAAACGGAGTAATGTGACCAACATAGCGATAATAAAATTCGGTTTAAACTAATTTTTGCAGCTTTAATCTAATAAGAGCTGCTCGGTATCTTAAATTATACAACAAATTTAAACATTTTTGCCAAAATAATATTTAGTCAGGTTTATAGACTTTAGTGTCAATGTCGACGTGCATCGAAAAATGTTTTGCGATTACAATATTAAAGATGCTGTAATATATCCATATTATTGACAGTTTTGTTGTAAAACTGAACGATTTCGCCAGTTCTCTAGACGGTCTTTGTTTCAATTCAGTTCAAGTAAAACGTCCGTTTTTTTCGTATACACCCAATATTTTACTTGATCCGTTTTGACTGAACAGCTCAAACTGACAGATAGAACGTTTTGTGTAGGTAAGACTTTAGAACGATTCTAAATTTAAATTATTTTGAAACACTTTTGAATATAAACCAGCAATAGCAAAGTTTATTGAATTTATTCAGTACACTTTGGTAATAGTAAACCTTTTCTTCTACATGTTTACACTAGAGATAATAATAATAATAATAATAATAAAGGACTTTATTTAGTAGAAAAGAAGAAATACATAAGTAATAAAAAAATCGATAACATTTTCCAACAATTAATGTATGTATATTGTAAACATTTTCTTGACAATATTAAATATTATTTGTAAATATAATTAAGTCAATAAAGGATTTATTATAATTATTATTAATATTTTAGGAAGTATATCCTGACCCAAGGTCCACTGTCAAATACCGTAAGTCATTTCTGGCTGATGGTGTGGGAGCAAGACAGCAAAGCCGTTCTAATGCTGAACAAACTGATCGAGAAGAAGGCGGAAAAATGCTCCCAGTATTGGCCCCCTTCTATCGGTGCCGTAATCAATTTTGCCGATGTAGGGCTCAGTTTAGAATATTTAGAACAACAAGACCATTCGTATTATTTAACCAGGGTATTGAGGTACGATTTTTAAACTACATATAATACAGGAGAACTTTGACAGTTCGGACACATATCAGAACAGCCACCCTGAATTAATAATAATAATAATAATAATAATTTATTCATGTCAAAAAATATTACAAAGAACAATTTACACGCGTCAATAAAATACAGAAAAAATAAACATTCAAACAATGCACTAAATAAAATCTTACTAGCTAAATACTTAGGTAGGACAATATAATGAATAATTGAAATCCATAAATTCATGATAAGTATAGAAACTGTTATTAAAAATTTTTTAATTTCTCTTTTAAAATCTTTCAAACGCATACTTTTAAAATGCTTTGGCAGAACATTGTATAGTTTTATGGCCCAATAGCCCGGTCCAGTCTGACACCTTCTCAGTCGCCAATATATGGGTGCAATGCACTCTCTATTCCTTGTATAGTCTGTCCAACGAGAAGATCCTTGACAGTGATAGATGTGTCTGTCATTTTAATTTCAAAGTAGTTTATTTTATTTTACAAAGAAATAAGTTGGTACAACTGGAACGCATAGCAGGATATATTTAAAATTTGATTGACAAGATGACAAGTGATTACTTCAAAATATTGTGAAAAAAACTGAATAAAAAAAATAAAATAAGAAAGTTGGTTATATGGGATACCGTACATGCGTTCATACAGCCAAATAAAATAACAAATAAAATAAGAAGTCTTTATCTTTTAACTTCTTGTTTTATTTTATGTGAAAACGGCTTTGCGCACACTTAATTCTAACCTACAAATATTTTCAGTTTGGATTTAATTTATTTTATAATTTCACGTAAGTAAAATGTATAATATAGTAGGCAACAAATAAATAAATATACTATAAATAGTAAAATTACTATAAACAATCGTAAAAGTTAACTTTTATCCAGCCTCATCGTACTGCGCATGAGCAAATATATATTTCTTATTTTATTTTATTTGACTGTATGAACGCACACAAATAAGAATTCCTTATTTCTTATTTTATTTTATTCTTATTTTATTTTATTTGGCTGTATGACCCACCATCAGAGCTTTTCGTTGCAAACGGAAAACCCGGGAAATACCGGGAGAGTGACCCCATGCAAGAATTGCGTAGGTTAAGTGGCTATGGAAAATTGAGAAATATGCAGTCATCGATACATCCGTCGACACTGGTCTTTAAACCACGCAATAAAGACAAAACTTTAGACAACCTACTTGCGAGTGCGTCAATATGAGCGCCCCATTGTAGTCGTGGCTCAAGATAAACTCCCAGAAATTTTACAGGGTCTCAAAAAATCATTCTGTTTGTTTTATCTTTATTCAAAAGTAATTTGTTAGCTTTAAACCAATCTTCTGCCACGTCCTGAGAAAACAAAGACGCTTCAATGGATGCTTTCAATGAAGAGCCTCGCACCAATATCGTCGTGTCGTCAGCAAAAAGAGTGTAGTTTGGTTCATTGTAGCACTGTGGTAGATCATTAAAAAAAATAAAAAAAAAGAATGGGGCCCAAAACAGATCCCTGGGGCACGCCAATACTTAGTTCGCGCTTTTCTGATATCGCCCCAGAATATTGTACTGTCTGATATCTGTCTTCCAAATAAGACTTTATCAGATTAATACTTCGTGTACAAAAATTGTAAGCTTTAAGTTTTTTCAACAAAATCTCCAAATCTAAACAGCCAAATGCCTTACTTAAATCGCAAAAAAGGACTGCGCAATACTGACGATGATGAAAAGAATCTAATATTTCTGAAATTAAATTAGGGATTGCTAGTCCTGTGTTCTTTTTCTCTCTGAATCCAAACTGCGATTCGTTAAAAAGGTTATTGTCTTCAAAGTAGTTTATTATCTGTTTGGCTAAACATTTCTCAAATACCTTGGAAATTATTGGGAGCAAGGATATAGGTCTATAGTTTTCCATCTCATCAGGATCATTTTTCTTATATATAGGTATATATACAGGGTGTTTCAAAACAAATGCGAAAAATTTTAGGGGGTAATTCCTTGTTCAAAATAAAAGGTAGTTTGCTTTTTAAACGTTGGGTCAAAAGTCAACCATTAGGGAGATATTGCGGTACAAAGATGGCGGAAAAATAATGTTTTTATTTTTTATCTTGAAAACGAAAAGAGATAGACTAATGAAATTTTATGGAAGCATTACTGTTATGAAAACACACTTTCAGGTAATTTTTTTACTTTTTAAAATGAGTGGAAGGGGTTGAAATAAACTATCCCTATCATTCTTGTTAACGAAATTTAAAGAAAAATCTTATCAAACACATGCTAATGCTTTAATTTGGATAGTTTAGTTTGTTTAGAAACTTTTTTACCTCTTGTGTTTTTTTGATAAAACTCACCGATTGGAAATTAAAAAATAAAATGTAAAGCATTACATGTCAGGACAAAAAACATTTTTATATTAAGCATCATAGATGATGCTAACATGGTTAGCGAAACGCGCGTCCAGTGTAAAAGTAAAAGTGTTTTGGTGTATTGTGGTGATTTAGTGTTTTTATTTTGCTGTGTAACACCAAAGGTTCCAACCCTCAACTGTAATCTATTAAGATGATGCTAACATGGTTAGCGAAACGCGCGTCCAGTGTAAAAGTAAAAGTGTTTTGGTGTATTGTGGTGATTTAGTGTTTTTATTTTACATGTACAGGGTGGGTCAAATTCGACGCTTTTAAAGGGAAACATACCCTGGTCTATAGAAGATAGACGAAAACTAATATTGTTGTTTGGAGATTAATTTTTATCAAAAACATGATGGTAAAAACCGCACATTGATATCTGTTACTGTTTCGGAGTTACAGGGTGTTTTCCAAAAATGTGCATTTTTAACAAATCACTGTAACTTTTTGCTATGGAAAATTTTGTATTTTTGTGAAAACATTTCCAAAGCCTTTTTTTACGTTATCAACAGCAAAAAATATTTTTTATTTGGGACACCCTGTATATTTTTAGTTAAGTGAAAAGAACTTAAAATTACCTTTCCAAAAATATAGCACACTTGATATGTTGTTATAGTCCCTTTCGAAATGCAGAATTTTTACAAGTTTGTCACTTTTAACTAGTAGGCTTGGAACCCCTTAATCATGATCTGCCCCTAATGGAACTCGAAAACATATTTTTCCAGCAAAACGAGGCACCGCCTCAGAACGCTGAAGTTAGCAAATTTTTGCGGCCAATTTCGAGAATAACTGAATAGCTAACCAAGATCTCAGCCGTTGGCCGTCGAGGCCGCCGGACTTGATGCCTGTTATCCTTAGTGGATTTTTATCTTTGCGGAAGAATAAAGGTTCTTATTTTAAAATTACCCGTATAATCTAGACAAGAATCAGAAATACTTAGCGGTTATACAAGTGTATCTTTTACCCCTACTGAGTTAATGAATTCCGCGAGAAATAATAAAAAACGGTCAGATATAGTTTAAATGTGTTGATTTTGTGAAATATAGTTTAAATTGTTATAAAAATCTCGAAGAGGAATCGAGCAAAATATCAAGTATGCTATATTTTTGGAAAGGTAATTTTAAATTGTTTTCAATGAATTAAAAATATACGGGTGTCCCATATAAAAAAATCAATTTTTCTGTTGATAATTCTTAAATTATTAATTTAAAAAAAATATATACTTCAACCATTAAATTCTACGTAAAAAGGTGCTTTGGAAATGTTTTCATAAAAATACAAAATTTTCTATAGCGAAAAAGTTACAGTGATTTGTTAAAAATACACATTTTTGAAAAGCACCCCGTAACTTCGAAACGGTAACAGATATTGATGTGCGGTTTTCACCATCATGTTTTTGATGAAAATTGAGCTCCAGACACCGATATTAGTTTTTGTCTTATCTCCTATAGAAAAGGGTGCTTCCATTTAAAAGCCTCGAATTTGACCCACCCTGTACATGGTTTGATTTTTTATTTGTTCTTGATAGATATGATTTTTTGGTTCTTGGTATGTCTGATTGTTTTATATCTGAAATATTAAATTTCGGAACAGCAAAAACTGGAATATTACTGATAGAACAGAAATGTAACATATCTTTCCATCTATTTCAATGCAATCCAATCTTGCATTTGTTCTGCAAGAGTCGTTTAGTACTATTTGTAGTACTACTGTACTACAAATAAAAGATATCTAACTGTCCACCGTCCAAGAAAAATGAGGACTTTCATTCGTTTGCCTTTAAATTTTGTTGGCATCCGGAAAAAAGAGGTAAAAATGTCATAGGTTGATAAGAGACGCCGAACTACTGGAGCGTCCGATTCGGCGTCGTGTCCGAATTAGTGAAGTTCTACTGTAATTTATTTTTTACAAATACTTATTAATATAAAATTTTGATGTTTTTTTCTCTATAGATTAACGGATATAGAAAGTGGAAAAAGTAGAGATATTCTGCAGTTTCACTATACGACGTGGCCGGATTTTGGGGTGCCGTGTTCGCCGACGAAATTTTTGGATTTTTTGAAGAAAGTCCGTAATGCCGGGGTGTTGGAAGAGGAAGTGGGGCCTCCCGTGGTGCACTGTTCGGCCGGTATCGGTCGGTCTGGAACGTTTTGCCTTGTAGATTCCTGTTTAGTTCTTGTAAGTATAAAAAACAACTTTTTTAATATACAGTATGTCCCCGGATTGTCTTTACAAGAAAAAATTATTGGCATTTTGAGGAAAATGCGTTCTTCATAAAAAATTTTTGCTTCTTCTAAAATGGTTAATCCCGTTTATGCTTTTTCAAATATCCATACGTTTTCGAGAAAATTTCAAAGAACTGAAAATGTAGTTGAATTTTTTATAAAATAAAAAACCAGAATAAAATGAAACTTCTACACTCTGTATCTCCGAAACGACGCGTTTTAGGACATAAATTTATACAAACTTTTTTACTTATTTTTATATGCAGAATACTCTGCCGAAGTTTTCTGAATACAATTCGGACCACCCTGTATAATTAAAAATTAATATTAATTTTTTACTATTATTTATGGAACAGTACACTGGCTAATTTTAAATGAGTAAAGCTAGATTTTCCTGCGTCCGTTATCCGTTAATACGGATGCGATGGTCCGACGGCGCTCTGATTGGTCATAGCGTTTTTGCCGCCACTTTTCATCCGTAAATAATATACTCCAGTTCGTTAACGGAGAAAGAGCATACGATAACGGACGTTTTGACACTTTTTTGACAAATTTAATCCAACTTAATAAAAATATAATAGTACCAGAGTTAGCACCGTCAGAAAAACGAGAATTTTAAGAACGCTGGTTCTTTAATATACCGTATGATCGAAAAGAAAACGACGTCCAGTTGGCTGGGAAATGACGATCGATGACATTTCCCATATAAATTTACATATAAAATGACAGCGATCTTCATTTTATAGCCATCGCTGACGCCGTTTTTATTCGATCATACGCTTTGAATAAGAAGACTAAGGAAGGAGCATAATGCTATCCATGTATTCATGCATGGTGGGCGGAAAAGCCACCATAAAAGCTCTCTAGGGTGGGGATCCTTGACAGTTCTGTTTGACGATTCATTTGACACATTTGAATTTGATTTGAAATTTTGTGGATTTGTCAGTCTTTACGGAGCTTATTTTATGTTATTTATTATTTATTCTACTACTGATAGTTGTATAAAGATAGTAAATCTAGATGGAAATTGTGACAGAACTTAAATTAACATTGACACTATCGCGATTTATCGAAAAAGGCTCTAAAATAGTTGGTTGTGCAGCGTGCGGTAGATCTCGGCAAAAATTGAGTGAAATAATGGAACAACTTTTCGCTAGTAAGTGGCTATATAATATACATACGTGTAGTAAACCGATCATTTATGAAATTCACTTAAATTAACTAAATTATATATTTTTCTTGCATTTTAGCTTTTATTTATTACTTGTCAAAGATTAGATGTCAAAGAATTTAGATACGTTAATTTGACTTACCTGCTTCAGTAGCGTATCGGATGTTTGTGTTAATAAATACTTATTATAACTTATCTATTTTTATTAGAATTATATATTTTTATAACAATTTTAATAACTACCAACATTTATTCACAGCGTAAAATAAAACAACAAATTATTCAGTCTACCCCACGTCTACCCTACATCATAGTTTTACATTTTTTAAATAAAATTAGAACGACACTGATAAACCGGAATTTAAGTCGGCCATATTTGAGGCCCATCACGGTGTACCTAAGATTTTTGATATGCTCCTTCCTTAGTCTTCTTATTCAAAGATCATACGGTATTATATTTTGCTGGCTGCCGGTAGACTACTGTGGTTCACTACTGCTCATCACATCTGTACAGGGTATCCCATTTCTCGTTTTTTAGTAGAGATATAATGATGCGATTTTCACATTAACTTGCTACTTTTTTATGAAACTAAATATGCTACACATAGGTTTGCCCTAGCCTCTTTCGTTCCTGAAATACAGGGCGAATTTGTGATGTGCAATAATGAACAGATGTTGAATACAGATATGATACGCAGTAGTGAACGCACCGTCTACCGGCAGCCACACGGCCGCACTCTGTTCAGGAGAGCATAGCAAAAGATTAACATCAATCTCTTGATTTTCATGCAGATTTCGATTGGTTAGAACATTACGCAGTTTTTAAATTTATTTTATTGCATTTTCATGCCTCCGTTTATCGGACATACATTGGTGTCATTTTAATTTCAATTTCCATAACGATTTCGCTGTTTTACTTATATTTTTGTTAAGGTTAGATTAAATTTGTTAAAAAAATGTCAAAACGTCCGTTACCGTACGATCTTTCTACGTTGACGGGCTGAAGTAAACAATTTACGGATGAAAAGTGCACCGTCGCCGGTCCATCGTTTCAATGAATGACGAATGCAGTAAAATCAAGCTTTAGTCATATTTTTAGAGTATAATTTTAATGACTCTGGTTGTCACATTTTGATTAATTGATGGTTAAAATCGGAGATAAACGTGTAAAAGGTCGTAATGTAAAAAACTTTTTTTTCGTGTAAAAAAAACGTTTTATGAAAAGCAAAAAATCTCTTTCGAAGTGTTAAAGCTCCTTTGAAAACCCTGTTTTTGTTTTTAATTATCGCTTCTATGAAGCTAACGTATTCTGTGTTTAACTTGTAACAAAAAATTCCACACTTGCCAATTATCAAATCTTAAAAAACACTGAAATGAAGTATAGCCAACCTTCTAAATCATGTTATTTTGTGCGAAAATTTCGTTTTCAATTGTAAAAATAACTTCCAGATCGAAAAATACGGCCTAAATTCCGTGAACGTGGAAGATGTGCTGCTGGAAATGCGAAAATATCGTACCGGGCTGATCCAGACGCACGAGCAGCTCCGGTTTTCGTATCAGGCGATCATCGAAGGTGCCAAGCAGTTACTTAATTCAAATAATTCGGACGACGAGTCCGAATCTAAGGTATGTGCCAAAAATGTGTTTTTTCCTTTATATTTTCACTTATTTAATTTAAAAGTTTTTTGATTTTATTTCTAGAAATAGTAAATATTGTATTGTTTAGTCCGTTCCATATTAGTCCCTCCTTATTCCCAAGATTTCCCTTTTGTTGTTAACCCGATTTTTTTAAGTTCATGTAAGTAAGAAGAAGAAAAAATAGTGTTGTATTTTCTTTAGTAGAAATCACTGACTCAATTTCAGCAAAAATGTTGCTTTCTGTAGTTGTCACGTCAAAAAACTCCTAGACACTAATTTTCATTCAAATATTGACGTTACTTCATAAATTATTTGGAAAAAATCGAAATAAAAATAAAACTTCTACACACTGTATTTAAAAATTAAGCATTTACATACATTTATACGAATTTTTTAATTACGAGGCATGTTTTTTAAGTAAGTACCGTTTTAGAATTAAAAAAAAACGTGCAAAGATATCGCAATAATTTTATTTTTACATGAAAGCCTGTACCTTAATCTACTTTTCTACATAATTTCCGTGAATATTGAGGCACTTGTCATAAAGTGGAACCAGTTTTCAATACCCTCCTCATAAAAATTCTGCCGCCTGACTGGTTAACCACTGTATCACAACTCTTTTGACTTCGTTATCGTCATTTGAAGACGCTGACCGCCCAGGTGTTTCTTCAAGTACAGGAATAAATGGTAGTCACTGGGCGCCAGATCAGAGCTGTATGGAGGATGATCTAGAGTTTTCCATTTAAAAGATTTGATGAGATCTTTTGGTCCGATTAATTACATGTGGACGGGCATTGTCATGCAGCAAAACAATACCCTTACTCAACTAACCAATGTCTTTTGTTTTGGATTGCACGGCGCAGATTGTTCAATATCTCACAATAAGAGGCTGCTGCATTGATTGTCTCATTGCGAGGCAAAACTTCACTAGCAATACTCTTTTCTGTCCCAAAAAACTGTGCACATGATTTTCCGGGCAGAAATTGTTTGCTTAAACTTCACTGTTCTGGGTGATGATGAATGTCGCCATTCCATGGACTGTTGTTTCGATTCTGGTGTGGCGTAGGCCACCCATGTTTCGTCACCAGTAACAATTTTGTCTAAAAATCTTCACCTTCATTGTGGTACTGCTCAAGGAAAGTCAATGCACTGCCTAAACGTTGGGTTTTGTGCAAATCCGTCAACATTTTCGGAACCCAACGTGAACACAATTTCCGGTAATTCAAGTTCTCGGTCACAATGCGATACAAAAACACTACGAGAACATTGAGGAAAGTAGTCGCACAATGATGAAATTGTAAAGCGTCTGTTTTCTTTCACCTTTTCGTCCACTTTCTACCAAATCTTCATTAACGACCGAAGGACGCCCACTCCGTTCTTCATCATGCACATTTGTGCGGCCATCTTTAAATGCTCTCACCCATTTCCTTACCATTCCATCACTCATAATGTTTTGTCCGTAAACTTCACAGATCTCACGATGAATATCGATTGGTTTTACGCCTTTAGCACTAAGAAATCGTATGACAGCCCGTACTTCACAATCGGCGGGGCTCACGATTGTCGGAGGCATCTTAAACACTCAATAAACAACGTATACAATGAAGAATCAGACTGTACTGGCGTCTGTGCATAGACAAGAGATGTAGGTAACCAGCGCGCATGCGCGGAACGCCGACCGTAGCGCTGCGGCGGCGGAATCGCAAAACGGTACTTACTTAAAAAACATGCCTCGTATTTTTATCTGCAGAATATGCTGCCGAAGTTTCTGGAATACAGTTCGGATCGCAAATTTTTCAAAATTCGGCCGATAAACTGATTTTCTAGCTATTTGTTTTAAAACGTCAAATTCGGCAGATGCCTGTAAGCAACAGGTTAAATTAAAAACAACAGACTAGAAAGTGGTTTTACTAAAGGAAAAAAATCTATTATTGTTTATATTCAATTGATTTAGTGTCGATTTGACATTTTCTGATCTGACTTGTGTCTCTGCGTTGCGTCAATTTTCCAGTCCAATCACATTAACGATAGCGGCGCGGGCGACTTGATAGAAGCCGCCGCCAGTTCGGACGAGGACGACGACGAGCCCCCTCCCCTGCCCCCGCCCAGGACTGACAGCTTGAAAGCCGTCCAGAACGGTCTGGCGGACAGGCCGCTGCCCACCATACCGCAGAGCGTTTCGGATTACGATTTGACGTACAAGGAGAACGGCGCAGACGCAGACGAGGTACGTACTACTGGAGTACTTTGAATACGTTTTGTCACAAGCCTATAGGTCATACCTAGTGATGTAAAATTTCCAGAAATATATTTTCGGAAATATTTCCTGAAACATTGGAAATATATGAAATATTTAAAAAAAAATAAGAAAAACTGAAATATTTATTTATAAAAGTCATAACAAAGCATCGCAAAACACAAAATGAGTTATTCTTCAAATTAAAAAATAAATTATTAAGGTTAAATTTGTACAAAAAGAATTATTTTTGACACACTAGTCAAGCAAGAGGCATATCTTCATCACTGTCATCAGCATCACACTCGCATGAATATAACTATAAACGCTAAAACTGCGTTCCGTGGCAGCCGAACATGCTGGCATCATCAAAATTCGTAGTGAAGCTACTTGTGATAATGAAGATGAAGAACACAGTCCTTTCCACCAGGAGACTGGGTTATCAAAACTACTTTTCCATATGAAGTTATTTCCAAATAACTTGCCACTTCTACAACAGTAATCTGCTATTTCCTCTATTATTTCTTGCTCCTTTATATTGAGTTTATTTTTTGATATATTAAGTATATATATGCATTCTATGGCAGAAAGATTTGGATTTCATCAAGTTCAGAACCTTGTGATTTTGGATTTAGTAATTCTGCAGCATAATGAATGGGTTTAATAGCAAATTTTTCTCTTTTGTCAACAAACTCCAACAATTCAGATTTTTCTTTGTCGTCAAGTGAGGACAATGCAAGATTATTCTGAATTGCCCTTCTAATATCACAAAATGCTTTTACAACAAAATGAATGTCGATCCCCTGAATGAAAAAAAATTTAAAATGAATGGGATTCCCCTGCGCTACGACCTACGAGCTCGGGACTTCTCCGTGGAAATGCGAGGTTGCAAATAAGGAGGTGAATCCTCAAACGCGATATATTCACCATATTATATGTTTGTAAAACTGTTCTATAGTAAGTTTAATGTTTATAGAGTTACAAAATATGAAAGATATATTAATAAACATCGGGTTTGAATATAAATTTCCAATATTCCCAATATTTCCGAGACACGTTTGGAAATTTCCAATATTTCCATTTCCATTTACAACAATAGTCATACCAAACAAACTTTTTGTCACACTTTAGTCAACAAGTTAGGTAACACTTGCACTTTTTATAAAAATAAGTGAAATTGAATTGGTGCTCGACGGTGGTCGCGCTATTAGAAATCTGAATTCAAAAATCGATATCTCGGAATTCATTAGAAATAATTGATTGTAGTTATTTTCAAAAACTTTCTTAATATTTCTGATATATTTTTTCACAAACAGTATGTGAAAATCTTTATAAGCCAGCACGGTATATTGCCGTTTTAGTTTTTTTTTTTGTGTATGTTCCTTGTATTAATTTTTCACTATGATAATGGTTTTGATAAAGTCAAAATTGTTACTATTTTAGATTCGCATCCCGAGTGGACCTCTGCCCGTTGTCCCAATCGATCTAGAGGAGGAATTGAGCAGCGAAGATTCCTTGGAAGAAGACGATGAAGACGACATGAACGAAGACAAGGGCTCTGTGGGTTCGGATAGTCCCAGCTCTATCGGGAACGACGACGCATCAATCACCACCAAGTTAGTTTTCCTTTTTTATTATTTTTTATTTGTTAATAACATATTTTTTGTTTGACAAGTTAGTACATATACAAATATTCTTTTTGATCTATTATTACTTTATTACACAAACAGATTTTAATTAAATGAAGTTATTAGCAAGTTTTCTAAATGAAAGCTGAGAAATGTAAATACTACAGAGCTTTAACTGTCTAATCTTCGAGACTTAACTTGCAGATTATCATGACTTAAGTCATGTTGATTTTAGAAATGGTTTAAGTCTTTTTAAAACTGACTTATTGCAGCTCTGTTGCAGTTACTGTTTTATTTTACTGTTAATAGAGAGATATGGCAACGATATGCGGTATTAACGGAGGCGTTATTTTGGCAACTATGACAGTTAAAGTGTCATAATAAGCGTTTGTGCGCTATTAACGTTACCGCATGCCGGTATTTAAGTGGAGAAGACGCCGTGCGGTAATTTGACAGTTTCGAAACGTTATTTTAGCAGTTGAGATACTGTATTTTTTATAAAAATTGAGATAAGTCTTTATTGGGTTAATTTTACATAGAATCTTGCAAGTCCTCGGTGCCCGCGTGGTTAAAGCGTTAGAACTTTACGCTGCTATGACGTTGGAGCCGTAGTGAGGCAGGTTCGAATCCTAGTCAAGGCGACTTTTTTTTAATCGTTTTTTTATTTTTAATGAATGGTACGGAACCCTTCGTGCGCGAGTCCGACATAACGCACTTGACCAATTTTTTTTTTGTTTCAGCGTGTCCGAGCTGCGCCATCGCCGCCGCATCGAGCGCAAGCAACAGATGGAGCAGCAGGTGCGCGACATGAAGCGCCGCCAGCAGGCCAACGAACAGTGGCAGCAACTGAAGAGGTCTCTATACTTTCCTTTAATGGTGGGCGGCGCCCTCCTCTTGGGGGGCGGCCTCGTCGCCTACTACTACCTTAAGCAATAGAAACAGCCGTCGCACGTCTAGCCAATAAGTCGAGTCGATCGAGTTACTACTTAATACGCGTGGCCGCGCGGTACCAACCATTATATTGGGCCGACTAAAGTCCCTAGAGTAGAGGCGGGAAATTTAAACAGGGTGTCTCGTATTTTGTGGATTGTCTCGCTTTCAAGGAGAGATACAAAGATGCTGATCATTAAAGAGACAAGCCTGTAAAGCGCTCGAAAATGGGACGCCCTGTACAGTGCTTTCATTTCGTTTTGTTCAGCTCTCAACTGACTATAACTTTTCCTGTTTTTAGAGATAGAACATGCAATAAAAATAAATTATGCGGTTTTTAGTCAAGTTTCATGGTTTATTTATATCATATACCGTGCTGGCAACTGTTACTTTTGGGTCGGAACTTACATGTGTGAAAGTAAATCGCATAGGGATCTTATTAAGTCGGAGTGAGAGAAATGCGACGGTGTGCTGTTGCGGCGTTGCCGGTACGCCTTTCCCTATGAGGTAAAGTAAAATCACGATCGCAAACCGCTTATTTTTAAACGACTTTTTGTTCGAAAAGATAACTAGTTATATGAGTTCTAATAGCGCCACTACTGTCGAACGCCAACTCAATTCCACTTATTTTTATCAAAGATGCAAGTGTTTCTAACTTGCACTTAAAAATTTTCAGGCTCTGGGGAAAATTACAAAGTCTCGTTAATAAGTAAACAAATAAAGTATCGCGAGACGTAATTAAATCGTGAAGCTGAACGCATGATGTACACCTTTTCCTAGAACTTTAGGTACTGACAGAGGTACTGATTGGGTTGACCAGTGGACTGCCACAAATCTGCTTATCCCCTTCCACGTCTCTTAGCAGTGTGCGCAGTTTCCCGGTTTATTTCGTGCGTTTGGCAACGTGTTTACTGTTCTCTCTTTGTGCAGTACATTATAAAGGCATTGTACTCTTCTTACATACGGAAATCTCGACCCAAGACTAACCTTTGCCAGCCCTTAGTATGTATATATTACACTATATCGCTAGTCAGGAATAGAAATTGAAGACAAATTTTTGAGATGGAGCTCTACAAAATCCACATAAGTCGGTCCTTTTCGTTTAACATCTTTGAACTACGCAAACGTGAGAAGTGCTTCTCGATTAGTTGATTTATTTCATACTAACCAATAGAAGTAGTTTTCAGAGTTTCTATCTACCACGTAAATCAATTTAGCGTCTGACTATCCGCGCCTTTACTTATAAATTTAAATTTAATCTCTGGTATATTTAAACAAAAACAAGAAACGGGTAGATATGATGAATATCTAAAATAACAGGTTGAAATAATGCCATTGCCAATAAAAAATAATATATTATACGTTATTAGTATTTAGAGTTTAAAATAGTGCAAAGAAATTTCTTTCTTTCGCTGCACTTTCCACTCATTGTGTAAATGCGGTACTAGCAACATATTTTTATAATACATTTGGATATAAACTATATTTATATTTAAACGGAACACAATATATATATCAAGTATCTTGGATAGCATATATTCTCTTTCTTTTTATCGGTTTTTATTGAAATTTTATAAAATATACATCATTGTTAATATGCTTATTGGTTTTAAGGTCATACTTTTACAACATTATATTACTTTTACAAAAACCATTGACAAGATAGGGCATGTGCGCTATATTTTTGAAATCAGAATGAAACATGATATGCCACTTCTATCATACAGGGGGTCCTATATAAATAATGAATAGTTTATATCAATAATTGTGACATTTGACAGCGTATGTCATTTATGCTAATACTGCCGTAATTTTAAAACTTGACTAAAAACCCTACAATTTATTTTTTTATTGAATGAAAGTGCAACAAAATGAAATGAAAGCATTATAGTGTTATTTTTTAAAAAATATGTAAAAATGTCGTTTTTATATATTGACCAATAACAGTGCTGTGTTAATCTAGGGACTTTGGTTTTGTCAGTAGTGACAAATTGCCAATATTTGACGGAGAGTGGGGAGGGGGTATATTAAGACGAATTTTATCACAGGACAAGAAAAAATGAACAAAACTAAAGAGTTTTAATGAGAAACAAAATTTTTCTTTTTTTTTCTTTGTGAAAGGAACAAAATTAATAACTAGTGCTAAATAATTGATGATTTTTTCAGAAATAGTATCTATATAATATTCATATTATTTCCATATGTAACATTTCTAAATACTATAACTTATTTTCTGAATCAATCATAAAATTATTTTTCTAATTTTTTTTAAAATGTTTTATTTTCAATCCCTAGAAATACCAAACAATATTATATGAAATCTTTATTATTCTCCGACTCTTTATTTTTGTGTTTTGTGTCTCGTTCTGCGAAATTAACGATTTTTTATGTACAAATTTCGTTAGTGCGAATTTTCAAAAGCGCGGTCCTTTTGAACTACCAGTCAGATTTTATTTTGTTTAAGTATGAATATACTTAATTTTTAGTATGAAGAAACAGTAATTTTTTTCTTTATATTCTGTATTAACAGTCTATGATCTATAGGGTGTACCCAGTAAATAATCTACTTTACCCGGAATCTTCTTAACAATTTTGTTTTTCTTTTTTTAATACGGTAACTAATTAGTATTTTGACTGATTTGGGACACCCTGTAGCTTTAATATATGACTTCAATTAATCTGTTTCAAAATAAGATTAAAAATTCGTTGTTTTGAAAATCTTTATTGACATTAAAATTTATTTATACCAACTCATACATTTTTCATTCGATCATAGCGCTGGTTATAATATATTTTTGCTATTCTCAAAGAGATTAATTTTATTCTATATTATTGTACAGTTGTGTAGTTATCGGCACCTTTTTAACGAGCAATTTTAGGGCGGTACAATCGACCTACTCGGCGATATACCGAGTGTTTCTCTTAATTTAAAAAAATAATTATTGCTAAATAATTGTGTGATAAATGTTCATCGCGTCATGGGACGTTTTTTTAATTATATATTTTTTCTTCATAGTTTATTTCCGGTTGAAGATTGATTAAATTTGTTTGTAGTTGTCAAATTATTAATATTATAATAATTATTGGTTAATTGTTATGAAACATTATCGATAGCTATAGTTACAGTTACGTTTTGTGCGGTAATAATTATTTGTCAAAGGGCGATGTTTGGTTCATTTGAACTACTCACATGTAATCCGTATATTGGTCGCATTTTGTTTCAAAATTAGTATTTTTGGTTAATAATAATTTATATCATGAGAATGTTGTTGGTTCATTTGAACTACTATAAGATAAATATTACTTATCGCGGTTAAAAAGTTAGATTCATTTGAACTACTCGTATTTAACTACTAACATTTATCGATTGCACACATTGCTTCGCCATTAATGTTTGTGTGGCGAGAGAAGGTTTATATAAAAAAAAATGTTCGGTTTATTTGAGCTACTCGTATGAAGAACAAAAATGTTAGTTTATTTGACCTCTTATGGATACCGTTATATTTTAATCGCATATCGTTAAATGCTTTTTACAATAGTTATATTATCAAAAAATAGATTCATGTGAACTACTCACATTAATAACATTATTTATCAAAATAACATATTGTTCCACCGTTAATGTTTTCAAAGCGAAAATATTTTTATATCAAAAGATGTTTGGGTTATTTGAACTACTCGTTTGGAAACCATATTGGTCGCATTTCGTTTCAAAATGAGTGTTTTGATGATGTTTGGTTCATTTGAACTACTCACATGTAATCCGTATATTGTCGCATTTTGTTTCAAAATTAGTATTTTTGGTTAATAATAATTTATATCATGAGAATGTTGTTGGTTCATTTGAACTACTATAAGATAAATATTACTTATCGCGGTTAAAAAGTTAGATTCATTTGAACTACTCGTATTTAACTACTAACATTTATCGATTGCACACATTGCTTCGCCATTAATGTTTGTGTGGCGAGAGAAGGTTTATATAAAAAAAATGTTCGGTTTATTTGAGCTACTCGTATGAAGAACAAAAATATTAGTTTATTTGACCTCCTATGGATACCGTTATATTTTAATCGCATGTCGTTAAATGCTTTTTACAATAGTTATATTATCAAAAAATAGATTCATGTGAACTACTCACATTAATAACATTATTTATCAAAATAACATATTGTTCCACCGTTAATGTTTTCAAAGCGAAAATATTTTTATATCAAAAGGTGTTTGGGTTATTTGAACTACTCGTTTGGAAACCATATTGGTCGCATTTCGTTTCAAAATGAGTGTTTTGATGATGTTTGGTTCATTTGAACTACTCACATGTAATCCATATATTGTCGCATTTTGTTTCAAAATTAGTATTTTTGGTTAATAATAATTTATATCATGAGAATGTTGTTGGTTCATTTGAACTACTATAAGATAAATATTACTTATCGCGGTTAAAAGTTTGATTCATTTGAACTACTCGTATTTAACTACTAACATTTATCGATTGCACACATTGCTTCGCCATTAATGTTTGTGTGGCGAGAGAAGGTTTATATAAAAAAAAATGTTCGGTTTATTTGAGCTACTCGTATGAAGAACAAAAATGTTAGTTTATTTGACCTCTTATGGATACCGTTATATTTTAATCGCATATCGTTAAATGCTTTTTACAATAGTTATATTATCAAAAAATAGATTCATGTGAACTACTCGCATTAATAACATTATTTATCAAAATAACATATTGTTCCGCCGTTAATGTTTTCAAAGCGAAAATATTTTTATCAAAAAATGTTTGGGTTATTTGAACTACTCGTTGTTTGAACTATTCGTTTCAAAATGAGTGTGTTATGATAATGATGTTTGGTTCATTTGAACTACTACAAATTTATTGATCGCGTTTAATTTCTACGTGAATGTATTAATGTTTAGTTGGTTTGAACTATTCGTATGGAATTTTTTAGTCGATTTTTCTTAAAATAAATTAACGTCAAAAAGTTTATTTGAACTACTCGTATTGGTAACGTTTATCGATTACACACATTGCTTCACAATTAACGCGTTTGTGGCGAGCTTTTATGTCTAAAAATATTTGGTTTATTTGAACTACTTGTATGAAGACAAGTTCGTGTAACCTCTTATGGATACCGTTATTTTTGAATCGCGTGTCGTTAATGATTTTTACGACAGTTAAAATTATTTATTTGATCTACTCGTTTGGAAAACAAAGTTATAGTTCTTTGTTCGCATCTTTCGTTTCGGGGTTAATGTTTTTGTGTCGAGAAAGTTGTGTATTCCAAAATGGTACTACGTCCTTCAACGTTAATTTGTGTTTCGCATCACAAAAACACGAACAATGAGAACCATGTTTGGTTTATTTGAACTACTCGTATAGATATCGTTGTGTTTTAATGACATGTTGCAACATTAATGTTTTTCTGACGAGGACAGTGTATTTCAA